ACTGGATTTTTGGAGTTCCGCTCTCTTCGCCCCCTCTGTCTTATGATGGAGTTAATGTATATTGGCAGTGGTTAGAACCTGTCCACATCCCTGTTGAGGTCATGGTTTCTTTTTCTGATGTGGTTTACTTCCTTCAACCCAGGTTAGAACCAAATGGCAATAAAAAGAAATTTATGGCACCATTTTGCTCCTTATTGGAATGTTTATCTTTTTGGGCGGCCAGTATCTGTCTCCAATGATGTAATGATATCCATTCACATTATATTGCATCCAGTGCTGCACCACATTTTATTTGTCATTAATAATGATATTAATTTGGCTCATATCTTATGTGATTCTAATTTATCTTTATTATATCCCTCACAGAAACATCTCTCGGAATGTCCATTTGTGCCAACTCAGTGCAAATACTGTGATATACTCCTTACCAGGGAAAAGGTAAGAATTTTTTGTAGTTTATATATTATATGTAATATAATAGAAGAAACAGAGTAGCAATAAAGACATACAGTCTAGTATTTTCAAAGTGATTGATAAATTACAAATGATGCATTTAACTAACATGAAAATTATTAATGTGTGACAATTGTTTTCTCTAATGTATTAATTATGCACATATTTTTTTTCAGCTAAAAAAGCATATCAGAACAGAGTGTCAAAAAGCAATAGTAAAGTGTCGGNGTATGACTTTGAATCATCAGTACTGAGCGAATATGGACTTATTTCTGATACTGTTGGGCATTGTCACATACTTAGTTGTATTTTTGCCTGATACGCTGGCTTTTGGTATGTTATCATATTTCTTTTGTTTTATGATTATTTATGGCTTTTTCATATTGTGCATTATGTCTTATATATACAGTTGTGCCTGTATGTTTTGAGAGGTTGATAGTTAAATAGCCTGGCTGTAAGAAAGTCATGTAAGTAAAGCCCCTGCTTTTGACACAGCCAATTTATTGTTTTAACTTAATATATCAGAAAGCAAATTTGTGAAGAAGTTTTGAAGGATTGGTAAGTCCAGCGCAGTGCATTCACATGGTAAAGCTGATACAACTGTATCACTAAGGGACTATTCACAATGAATTTTTTAAAACATAGCTAATGGGCACTCCTCTTGTCTCAACATACTTGCTTTTCTATATTCTTCTCAGTGCCAGGAGGAAGAATGTTAGTCTGATAATCTGATAGCATTCAGCGAGGGTCCCCATGGAGTTAGTGCATATGTATTAGTTAGGTCCACAAAATTCATTGTGAACAGTCCCTAAGATACAGCACTTGATGTGAAAAAGCCTTATTAAGAGTAGAACTAAAATAGTTTTCAGAGCAGTTTTTGTAAGGATTTTCACCAGGGTTTCTGTGTATGATAGCATTAAATTGTAAGGGGTCAATTTTTATACGTTTAATTAAACAGGAATATGATGCTTGTAGCTATTGCTCCATATTAGTTTTTGTGAATACTGACTTGAAATAATTTAAAATGATTTAATATGCAAATGAACATTTAAAAAATCACCACGAAAAGCTCTTACTAGCATGTATTCTATATTCCCAGCTATAATTAAATATGGTACAAGTGTGTTGAATAGGTTGAAATTTATTATTCCCTTGTAACTTACTCCATCATTGGGGTAAATGTCCTAGTATTAGTGTAGTGTTAGGTGTGAAGTAGGCCATAATGATAATAAACTTTTAAATTCCACAGCTTTTATATTTAAAATATTTATATCAGTGTCTTAATAGACACACATTAATTGCACCCTTGAGGGACCTCATTGTTAAGGTTAACACAAGATCCTAGATGATTCAGTCTTTAAATAACCATTGGCTATTATAGCTTTGAACTTCCTGGTACTACCTGCACATGTAGTGTGATTTTGTGGTTTATCAGGATGAGCACTATAGGAAAGGTATAAGGGCTAATTGAGGAATTTGAATGTGATATGAATGGTGCAGAATGGGACAGATGGGTCAAACTTTGCATGCTCAAGGACCACAAGTTATTATTTATTTATTTGGTGTCAGTTGCTTAGTTGCATGTGGTAATGGCTCAATCATTTCATTAGGGAAAAGTTATCAATTTTTCAGAAACATAATTTTGGAATCATTAAAAATACATAAATATGTAGTATTTTGGTGCTTTTAATGTATGGAATAGAACTATTAGGTAGTCTGCTTTTCTATTGTGTTACTACCAGCAGTGAGTAGGAATGTCATAATTTAAAGAATTTATTATTTAAAAAATACGGTATCTATAAAATTCACAATTTTCCAGTTGAAATGATCAAGCCATTACTGTAAATACCACTGTTTCAACTTTTTAAGAAAGGGGCAGGGATAAATAGATGGAATACACAGTCATTATTTTATTTATTCATTTATTTATTTATTTATTCTCATCTAAGAATCATTGCACACAGGCTCATCAGTTACACTTACATTGTATGTATGTCTGATAATACTCCTGCTTCTCCTGCAAGTTTTTCAAATTGGTTTACAGGAAATTCAGTTTTACATACATATATATGCAAGCCTGGCAAACCCATTTCTGTGTTTGAATTTCCTTGTTGTAGTAAGCAAGCAGTAATGTGATTGGTTATTCCAAACTGCGAGCAAATTTTTAGATCAGATTTTTGCCACAAGCCTTATTGGTGTACAGGATAAGGAGAGTATGTCTGTTCAATCATGTGTAATATATGTATAGTTTTTTAACTTATTAGGATGCATTAATGATGATGAAATTTTATGCAAAACCTTTAATGATATCCTATTCTACAATATTAATTAAAACTAATGCTCATGTCTAAAATTTGTGAAAGGTTTTCTTAGAGCTTCCGGCCATTACCCATAGCATTGACCTTGTTGATGCATGAGTTTGATGACATAATTTTCCTTGGGGATGGGGGGGGGGCACTGGATTTCTGGAGTTCCGCTCTCCTCGCCCCCTCTGTCTTATGATGGAGTAAATGTATATTGGCAGTGGTTGGAACCTGTCCACATCCCTGTTGAGGTCATGGTTTCTTTTTCTGATGTGGTTTACTTCCTTCAACCCAGGTTAGAACCAAATGGCAATAAAAAGAAATTTATGGCACCATTTTGCTCCTTATTAGAATGTTTATCTTTTGGGGCGGCCAGTATCTGTCTCCAATGATGTAATGATATCCATTCACATTATATTGCATCCAGTGTTGCACCACATTTTATTTGTCATTAATAATGATATTAATTTGGCTCATATCTTATGTGATTCTGATGCATTTATCTTTATTATATTCCTCACAGAAACATCTCTTGGAATGTCCATTTGTGCCAACTCAGTGCAAATACTGTGATATACTCCTTACCAGGGAAAAGGTAAGAATTTTTTGTAGTTTATATATTATATGTAATATAATAGAAGAAACAGAGTAGCAATAAAGACATACAGTCTAGTATTTTCAAAGTGATTGATAAATTACAAATGATGCATTTAACTTACATGAAAATTATTAATGTGTGACAATTTATTGTTTTCTCTAATGTATTGATTGTGCACATATTTTTTTCAGCTAAAAAAGCATATCAGAACAGAGTGTCAAAAAGCAATAGTAAAGTGTCGATTCTATGAGTTTGGATGCAAAACAGAGGTAAGATTTTTATGCTCACTTAACGCTGTGTGTTTGTGCATGCATGCCTATGATTGTACTCATTCTTGAGATCTTTTTGATGACTAAATTCATGCTTTTTTCATGCCTTGCCATCTATGATGGAGAACAATGAGCCATTTACATTTTTATAGAACTTTGTGTATAGTTACTTATTCATAGAATCAGGAAGTTATTTATGTTTGACATCTGAATTGTCCAATAGTAGACTTGTAGGAAGAAAACAGATAGCCTCAATCATGGATCTGGTTTAATAATTTGAAATACAAGATGGTAATAATTTTATGAGAAAATAGCATTTTTATTTCTTTTATAGGGACAAGCACCATAGCTTGTCCATGTAATGTCATATATTACTACATTATGTGTTTTGTATACTTTTCCTAAGGTGAGGCGATCATGTATAGATGAACATGAAGAACAACAGAGCCAACAGCATCTTTGGTTACTATGTGGTGCAGTGAAGGAGTTGTACCGTCTGCTTTACACCATAGTTCCCCAGGGAGTATCGCCACTACCTAGTTTAGGGGCACCTGCCTCTGCCCCACCTGTTTTAACACATACTGACCTTCAGCTAGATGACCAGCTGACCAGTCTGAATTTAAGTGATGATAGTAGCCTCAATGCTCTCCCTTCCTCGGATTTTACAAATGATCTACCTGCACTGAAAAATGCAATTTTGCAAGTTAGAAGACTTATACAACTTCATGTAAAACCTATCAATTTCAATCCTGAGAGTACTCAGATGATGAACATCACCAAAATTGAGAGTGATCCTACTGCAATGCAATCAGCAAGATTCGATTCCCAACAGAATGCTCCACCACAGGAACATGAATCTGTACTTTCATCAGTTCAGACCAAAAAGTTACAATCATTGCAAGAGAAGACTGCCTATCAAGATGAGAGAATGACCGGTCAGAGTCAACAGTTAAAAGAAACCCAAGCCAAACTGTCCAGTATAGAAAAAAAATTAGATGAGTATAGAATCAGGACTCGACAGCTGGAGAGTCAAGTCAGTGAAATGGAAGCCAGAAGTTGTAATGGAAATTTTTACTGGGTGATTAAGAATTATTCTAGATTAAGAAGAGAAGCAATGTCTGGTGATAATACAGTACTTCACAGTCCAGGGTTTTATACAAGTTTTCATGGGTATAAATTGTGTGTGCGTCTCAATTTGAATGGGGTAGATTCTGCTCATGGAACACATCTTTCACTGTTCATCCACTTTATGCAGGGAGAGTTTGATAGTTTTCTGGAGTGGCCATTTGGTGGAAGAATAACACTGACCATTATGGATCAGAATGAAGCATGTGAATTAAGACAACACATAACAGAAACATTAATTGCAAAACCTCATTTAGCTGCTTTTCAAAAACCTCGTGCACATCGAAATCACAAGGGATTTGGTTACATGGAGTTTGCACCATTGAGTCTTATTGAAAATTCACAGTATGTGAAGAATGATTCTCTGATCATTCATGCACAAGTAGTTGCCCAATAATATACTTAGGAAAATTAACTTACATATTATCTAGAACTCTGAAACTTTATATTACACAAAAGGAGAAGCAGAGAAGGACATGTGGTACACTTAAGTCCCATTTTTGTTTGCAATATTTTTTTAGTCTTACAGCCTTTAATGAATAGCTGTATGCATGTACCTTGAAGCTGAAAGAAGAAAAATTGCTATATGTATTTTCTTTAGTCTTCCCATTTCCTTTTACTTCTACTTGAAATTAATTATTGTTCCATTTGGTACCATCACTTCAACTTTTGAGTACAGCAGACTTATAAAGAATTTTGCATATGGCATTCATGTCTCTTTTTATGCACAGTCACAGTAGTGACTGTACATATAGTCATCACCCAAGTCAATCAGCAGCAGAAGGGACATGCACTTTTCTTGGAAAACTCAAAACTGAGACATTATGTTACATTAAACCTGCTTGAGTCGCCTGTAGGGTTAAAATACAGGTTAATCCAAAAATGTGTCTGATGTACAATTAATTAGTTAACTTTTTTTAATGGGATGCAAATATGTGTTTCATTTTGCTTCAGTAATACTTAGAAAAAAACTGTTTTGCTTCATAATTGGCACCAGCCATCCAAAGGACTGTAATATGTAGGTAGATCACCTATCAAATTCCTTCATTAGTGCATATTGTGGAAAGTTATTACATTTTAAATTATGATTTTGTGTTTTTATTCTAGCCTGTATACTTCAAATGTGAATTTACCAACACAATCAGCTCCTGCAGTTGAATGTCATGCAGCTAGCATATTGCAGCATTTCTTTTCTTTGGATTTCATTTGATAAGGAACTGAGAAGAAACTTATCCCTTTTGCAACATCACATTTATCTGTACATCCATTTGCTTTACAAACAGGCAAAGCCCCATGAAGTACATGTTGAAGGTGATAGGGCAATGTCATTTTTCTACATGATAATTGAAAATGCGGTTCTGACAGAAACCAGTTAGGTGCAGACATGTACTTACTTTGGGAGATTCCAGTCTTTACATTTAAATTCAGGTTCGTGGGCATGACCAGTTTATCTTACAACTGAAAATAATCAATTTTGTAACACGGATTTATAAATCATAATTCTAAGGTACATGTAGTTCCTGAACCATTTTTTAAGGCTGAATTTACAAACACTTGATTGTACAATTGATAGCCGCGACTGCCTTTTTCGCTATATCTTTACTTGCAAATATTAGAAAAAAAGGCATGAAAATTGAAAAAAAAAATTTTCTAAAAACTTTTATTGATACTGTAGTGATAATAGGTAAATGATATGCACTACTAGGTATACTTAAAGTGTTCCTATGATTGCTATATTGGCCAGTATATTATTTATGTCACTGTTATTTTAGTTAAGACATACTGATAAGGCGCAGAACATAAATAGACATGAGCCAAGGTTTAAAACAAAAACTCTCTGAATATTATCATGGGACCCAACACCTAACCATGTCAGGAACCATCAGCATTGAATTAAAAAATGCAGAATTCCACGTTTCCACAGAAAAAGCTCATGTCTGATAAATAGATGAAATATTTATGAGCTGAAAAAGACTCTTCTGAATATAAATGTATAAAATGTGAAGAGTTACACCAATACCAGTGCCATGAAGAAAATCCCATGTAACTTCTAAACCAGGGGGTGGTCTGATTACTCTTGTCCTCATATTATCACTGGAACTTATTAGGTGGCTTAGTTACACTTTGCATCTTTAAAGGAGATGCATGTAACAATTGTGTGTTTTTTTTTTCTCTTGGTAGAGTGATGGCATGATTAATTGTGAGTTATAAGACTCATTCAATCATTAATTGCAATTTGTGTATGACATATAATTTCAAAATTGTTCCCTCTGCTATTACAGTGGCAAAGGTGCAAGTTAAAGGTAACATACTACAAGTTTAATGCTACTTTGGAAAGTTCATAAAACTGGAAAACCACAAGTTGGATATTTTACCAATTAATTTGCAAAACTCTCAAGGAATGTCAGATGCTTTATTCTTTATAGTCTGTTGAGCTAAAACTGTTGTTGAATAGAAATGGGTCTTGCAGTTTTGGCAATTATTATTACATGAAACCTATGGAACCCTCTGGCAACTGCAATCTACTTTTTGCGTTTGATGAATTATAGCCGTCTGTCTTGATATACATAATGTTGCTAACATATTACAGTTGATTTCGTGATTGTGAATAAGGAAATATTGATTTATGGAAGGCACAAAGACTGCAGTAGATCACATGATTTTTGAGTATAAGATTTCCATGAAGATAGATCATCCACCACTTTTCTTCAGTAATTGACACATGTTTATTAATTTCATTAGCCAAAGTCATAATAACTGCAGCCTCTTATCAGGTAGGGGTTTGAGCAAATTGTTATTTACTTTTTGATTCTAGTTATATCTGAATCTAGTTATTTGTAGTTTTCACACAATTGCACTGCTTTTTGTTAGATTAGGCAGTATGGAAAAAATAAAGGTTATAGCACAATCATTATTCAGACCATTGTAATGTAGAATTTCCATCAAAATAATATTTAATTTCAATTGTTTACAACTGCACATTGTATGCATTTTTGTAACAGTAAATCCCTTATAAGATTGGAACAGCTTTTAAGAGTTTTGAAAATTGTTATATTTCATTATTTATGTCATATTTTACTTAAATAACAACACGTTTTGTGCTAAGTGTAGCAGCACAAGTGATTGATGTTTGAATAGGAAACAAGTTATAATATTGGTTTTGTTTTTATTAATAAACCAAATAAAATCATGGTTAAATTTTGTTTGACATCTTTTAAGAGTATTGTTCCCTCTGTTGTTTATCATAGCTAGTATTCTGTACATTCCAAGATGCACTTTTTGCCTTTTCCAGATGCATTATTAATTAAGGGTGCAGTTAAAAAATATCTTACCCTGGTGAGGATACTACCCCTCTGACAAGACTGAATTATAATTTAACAATGTTTGACCAAAGAGTTGTCTCAACCCAGGAAATCACCCCCTAGCTGCTTGAGAAGGCATGTCATTCAGTTAATCTAGTTGCATTCAGCGAGAGTCCCCCCTGGAATTGGATTGATCTACCTAGTATGATAGTTAAATTGGTAATACACCCTTAGATGCAACTGATTAGAATCAATTCTGTTGCACAGAATAGCATTTAACTGGCCTTACAAATTTCAATAGCACCAAAGTCCCAGGATGGAAATGAAGCAACCCATAATACGTAAGGATCAAGGTATCATAAAAACTTTTATTGCAAAACTAAATAATCAGTCTTAATAATGCTTTCCCATCATCAACATCTACATGGATCACCAAAAATTCAATGTGGACAGCTTAAATGTTCTGAAGAAAAAACAAGGCACTTATAACAACTTACAAGTTTATATCAAATAACAGAACTAGATTCTAATAATGGCAATTTTATGACAAAACGTTCCTACCTGATCTAAAAAGTACAAAAAAGAATCTCCACGGAAAACATTTTTACCCCATCGAAAAGAGTTCAGTGTGTGAAGTTTTATCAAAGTGTAATAAGTTTTATCAAATGACTAACAATTGATTTTCTGAAGACTAACAGAGTAGTACATGGCACTTGCAAATGGTACTTGTCATTAATTCAAAAACAAACAAAAAATTTCTGCTGACACAATGGTATAACATTTCACAAAAAATTATGATAAAATGTGAAAGAAACCACTCATACTATTGCTTGTCATGTACCTATCATGTACTTCATCCTTGAACCTTATCAAAATATTGTATTGCTATACAATTATACAAAATATCTTATATGCAAAATAAGCACTGTCATCTTTCATATATCAAGACAGAATTTTACAAATTTGTTGCGTTTATAACATATCACCCATCACCTTATAAACTATATAATATCTTAATAAATGTGGAGGTATATATTCCAAATACATATATAAATACAATCAGATAAAATCTGCATAGCATACTCCCCCTTCTCCTCTAAAAAAGTAATGGTTTAATTAATGCTGCATAAATAGGTCAATTACCTTTGAATTATCAACTAAATATTGATATTATTAAAATAGTGCAGTTTGGAAGGTGTCTACAAATTATTCCAAAAATTTCTTTAAAATGTATGGCAAAGGCACCTTAAAAAGTAAATTGATCACATCTTGTCAGGATAAAGTTTGCTTATAATAGTGTATAATATCATGACTGAGAGGTCTTTGTTCTTTGATAAGTGCTATAACAATATATGGGCCAAAACAAAATATATGTTGTAATCCTTCAACTTTTACTAAAAAGCTTATTTAGCTGATGTCAACCTAATCAACAGATCACTGTAATTACCTTTAATGCATAGAAAAGTCTCTTATATTTTACTCTGGCTTCTTTAATGGCCACCGTGTGTTACAAGAAATATGTTGTTTATCAGTCCTAAAACTGGACTTCATGATCCATACATATGATTCAGCTTTCAGTTTACAGCAGCCAGAAACACTGTTAGAATGTTAACTGAGATCTTTATATACTTGTATCTTACAAAAAAATTTAAAGGACAGTACACAGGATTGCTGCTGTCTGAAAAATTCCCTATTTTCTTTTCAAATAGCCTCAACTTAAATTTCAATAGTTTGTGACATCCTTCAAAAGTAAACAAATCAGTACTTGTTGCTCAAAAATTGCAAATGTAAAGACTGCATGTGACTGCATGTTCACTTAATCATAGTCAAGCGAAGATTAAAGTGGTCTTAAAATATATTTCTGGCGTATTTTATCATATAGACCTTGATAAAGTGTTAAGTACTACAAAGTTGCCGAGGACTCGGAAAAAAATGATGAATACAGTCCCTTAAGAGTGTCTAGACTGAAAGTATATATATGTATACATACAAACCTCTTATTTAAGGAAGAGATTAGATACGCTTTATAAAAAGAGCAGACGTATTAAGAAAACTTCCCGGTTCATTGATTTTTATGTATACTTTTGCCATAACTTCCTGGTTTACTTGTATTAAATTTGTTTCCACAAGCTTTTAAGTAAATTACAGTTTTTAGAGTATGTCTAATGATCTGTTAATATCTGTACACCTTCTTACCACCTGGTTTCAGAGCACATTACGTTTATGCCAAATTTGCCAGATAGTAACTTCGGCTTTATTTCAAGACTGCAGGCCTTCTCTTTTACAGTTGCAGGACATACAGGGCCCTTCTTTTATCTAGAAAAGAATATTTCATATTTATGAACATTTCATATTTATTGTTTCTCAACAACAGTTTTTCTTGCAATTAATACACACCTTTTTCATTGACATCACCATTCAATGGAGAACAACAGCAAGTGTGCAATGAAAACCTGTCAGTGCTTTATTTTCACTCTTCTTATCAATATGGTGATAAATGCATGCATGAATATGCACATTTAGTATCCTTTCTAGCAATTTTAAGCAAATAGTTAATCCACAATGTAAATAATCAGGATGTTTCAAAGTCCATTTCCCATTTAGTTGTATGGACATCCTGGGAAACCAGGGACAGTGTTGCCAGCCTGTGAACCATGGGTAATGCTGCTAGCTTGTGAACCAGGAACAGTGCAGCCAGCCTGTGAGCCAGGGGCAATATTGCTAGCCTGTGAACCAGGGGCAATGTTGCCAGCCTGTGAACCAAGGACAGTGTTGGCAGCCTGTGAACCAGGGGACAATGTTGCCAGCCTGTGAACCAAGGACAATGTTGCCAGCCAGTGAAGCAGGGGCAATGCTGCCAGCCTGTGAACCAACGTGGCATACTGGCCATTGTCATTTTTGTGTACAAACCTTTTTTCAATCCACTGAACTCAAACTTTCATTGCCTTTTGCTCCTCCACAACATCTGGAGCAAGGCCAATGCCCTGAAGAGCGCGCTTGATGTCAGGGTACACACCAGCATCTTCGATGGTCACTGGGATCTGATAAGACATAAACGAGTATTAAAGCGGTTATGATGGGAGTTTAAGTCATATGTGATCTAATCAGTACTAGTGCTCTATATGACTACATAAGAATAGTGAGGAATATGTTCATTACTGGATTTGACTGAGTTTACTAGAGATTCCGTTCACCTTAAATGGTTTCCCATCAGCCATAGCAGCAATAGTGTTTCTTGCAATCTTTCCAGATCTGGTTTTAGGCAGTTTATGAACAATAACTGCTTTCTTAAAACTGGCCACAGGTCCAATGTGATCTCTTACTTGCTTAACGACACTGGCAATGATCTCATCATGTGGCTTGGTTACCCCTGCAAAACATAAAGAATGCTGTTAAAACGTAATTCTTCAAACTATATGACATTACATTTGTTGAAAAGATGCAAAGTATGTGTCATACCAGTGGTCATCTAAGTTATATGCTCAATGGTAAATGAATCCTATCAATCTAAATCTATTTCAATCATTTGAAATCACTGTATTTAAAATATTTTACTTGTACTAATGTTTGCCTTATGACATTCAGGTTGGTCATTTACATAAAATAGCTTGTCAGTCAAATGTCTTCATTCTCTCTTTCTTTCCATCACATCACTGATATGCAATTGGTAAATAAAAAAGTACAAGCTTAAACACGCATTGATGGACAACAAAAATAAAGAATCAGAGTATGAACATACCTGCTTTCAGTACACACAGTCCAATGGGAATTTGTCCTTTAAGGGAGTCCTTCACTCCAACCACAGCACATTCAGCAAGTTCATTCAGTTCAAGCATCACCTAAAATGATTACATAAGTTACATTTGTTAATACTTTATCGAAAGTTGACAATGAAAAGGTCAAGATATACAGCTATATAAATATACATAATACATGAAGGTGAGAAAAAAGAGAATACCACAGTAAAAAATCTTTTATTATTTCAGTTTTGCAATTATAAAACAGAAAAAGTAGAAATTGTGCAAATTGTACTGATATTTTATGACAAATAAAATTATTTGATTAGATAATTTGGCAATGGTATACTGAATAGTGATCATTGTTTCTGTTATTTTCTCCTGCACTCAAACTCCCCCGTCTCCACTGCTTACCTCCTCAAGTTGCCCAGTGGACAACCTGTGACCAGCCACATTGATGACATCATCGGCACGTGCCATGACAGCTATGTTTCCAAGGTGATCACGAAAACCTGCATCCATGGTGTCATAGTAACCCTGACACATAAAAAAATGTGGCAGTATATAGTGATCAATTAGTACATAGATATATATCTTGATTGAGATATGTATAAATAATGAAATAAAATAATTAAACAATGATTATGGAATTATGGAATCTAATTCTTTACGTCAAAATAAATTATCTTTAATAGTTGGTACAGTTAAAAACTGAGATGAATCTTGAGTTTCATTTATCTGCCAGCTATCATAATCCACTACATAGGATCTTTTAAATTTTGTTTGCTACAACAATAAAATGTTTACTTTGATAGTTATTATTAATATGTTAACGAGGATAATTTACTACTTACTGGGAATTTCTTGAAATACACATCACGGAATCTTTCATCTGCTTTATACAGTGTCGAAAAAGTTCCAGGAGGCAGGGGTAACCTTAACATTATTTTTAAAAATGAGATAAAATATATTTCTAACTTAAAAATACAATATGTACAATAAGAATGAAAACTAGACTATAATAAACATTTCGAACTTTGGGAAATCTATACCCCCAATTCATGCGAAATTTTGAACATAAATAATTAGCTACAGATTTGAATGTGCCAATGACAACCTTCATTTTATGTGATTTATACCCCTTTCCTACTGTACTGCTGTGTGCCAGGGCAAATGATGAAGAACAGTGATGAGGAACACATTGACAGATACACTGTGCAGGAAGACATAAAATGGTCAGAAACAGCTACACTTAACTTGGATAAAGTTTTCAACAACCCCAGTTGAGTAAAAAAAAAAAAAACAGCTCAAAAATTTGGGGGCAGGGGTAGAAGCCCAAAAAATAATACCAAGGTGCACAAATATACATTAAGGTATTTATAAATGTCAAGTTTCACAGAAGATAGAACAAGATTGAGTCTACAGAGAGGTAGATCAAAAGCAAATATTCTAATAAAATATTTTTTAAAAAGCATTTCAAAAAGTTGAAATAAAAATAATATAATATCTTTCAAACAACTTTGCTACCTACTTGACAACAATATTCCCAAGCTCATCATCAATGCATTCACTTCCATCATCTCTGATAACTTTGACTGAAAATGTAACATTTATCCATTATGCACAGGTTTACCAGTATAACTGTTACTACTATAAACAGAGTAACACATCATCAACCCACAGACATACATGCAAATTTATTTACTTTATTACTATATGTTCCAACATTTTTGTGAACTTCTAAACTCAAACTACACATTAAGCTATATATATATATATATATATATATATATATATATATATATATATATATATATATATATATATATATATATATATATATATACAGTCTGACCAGGGAATTACATCTGATATAATTCTCTGGTATGACCATCATAGGCTGCTTATTTACCAGAGGGTACCTACCATCATATCCTGGTACAGGTTTACCAGCGACACCTGGTGGAGGGTACAAGTGGTTGGCAAGACCAACACAAGTGGAAGTGATGGCCCAACCAGTTTCTATGGAAAACATATTACAAAAGCAGTTGATAATGTAGCTCAGGAAAGCCAGTCTGTTGAAACTGAGTTTTTGATGTATGTGTCACTTTAATTCAAAGCAAAGTTTTACAATGAGTTAGAAATTACATTGACTAGCCCAGCAATTAGATACTAAGTATGTGTAACAGAATGCATCCAATTTGGTCAGACATAAACCTCTATTTGCTCTTCAATAATCTTAATGAAAGGGAAAATGACCATAGAAGTAAAGCAATACCAATATCAAAGTAACAGACATCTCTGAATTATACAAGTAAATTAGCATCAATCTAACTCTTTTCAAATTACCTGTTTGCCACCAGTTATCTAGGATTGGTTTGTGCAAAATGTCTCTTGCCCACTCCATAGTCTCATGGTCACAGTGCTCACCAGCAACAAACAAACCACGAAACCTTAAAGTATTTAATATATGCCAGAAGTTTGTTTTTTAGTATATAATTAATACAAAATGATGTTACATAAAGTTCACTATATTGAGTTTAATGACATTTAGAAAAAATTGTAACAAATTTTTAAAAATTGTGAAATGCCAGCAAAATTACTTACTTCTTGGGGGTATATTTCTTGCTCAAGACTGCATCAGGATCCTTAAAGAGTAAAATATGCATGATAATCTTCAGGTATACAAAATTTAATAGCTAACAATTTTGTTATCTGTGATATATTTTCTTAAATTATTTTCAAGCTAACCAAACACATAACACCCTTTGTTTTTGAAGGGCCCTTAAAACTATGCATTTTTCCCCATTTTGCATGAAATAACATCTTTCCCTGACTGCAAATAAAATTAGTGTAATTTACCTCTCTTCTGATAGCTCTGAGTGCTGTAGGAGCAACAAACATGGAGGACACTTCATGCTCTTCCAGAACTCTAAAGAACACACCAGCATCTGGTGTACCAACTGGTTTGCCCTGGAATACACCTCACACATATAAAACTTGGTTTTCATGGCAATGGGAATTAATGGTAAATGTTGGTTTTATTAGAAGGATGTGACATTTGTATATGTAAGTAAATAATGGAGAAAAAATTTTCCTTATTTGTGTTTAAAACTTCCTTCTATACCTGTCTGTTACTGTGTGACATTGTTTAAGTGTTCAGTTTTGTGTTTGAAAAAGGGCGGTTCATATTCACCTCAAAGATGACAGTTGTGTTTCCATGCAGCAGAGGAGCGTAACAGATGTAGGAGTGTCCTACCACCCACCCCAGATCAGAGGCTGCCCACCACACCTGTAAAATACCCTTTGTCGTCTTATATTCAATTCATCTGAATGTGTTAAAATCGTACTGAACACAGCCTACTCATAGAATGGATCTAACAGCATAAAACAAAATCAGGACAACACCATAATTGAAATGTATTGAAACTGTGCCTAACCATGTGACAAAAAAAGTGAAAAGTCAAAAGATAAAGTTGATGCATTCTGTTTTACTGAAATATTATTACCTCCAATATTTTAGAGGCTTCTAATTCTTTACCCATGTAATTGAAATGAGGCTACTGTTCTCTTTGAAATAGCCTCTGCTTGTTCTTAAATGGTTTTCCAAATGTCAGACAAACATATGGGAAAGAGAAAACCACAACATACCTCTCTAGGTCTCATGCCATAGATGTTCCACATGGACCAGTGCAGGGCAACAGCATGTCCACCACTGGGCCGCACCACAGCCTATCATAACGACATACGCTAATACAATATGCAAAAAACAAAAATTGACAAGCAACGGACAAGCAAAAAAACAGTCACAAAGACGTTTGCAATATATCTTTTGGCTTTCTATATATAATTAAAAACCCATAAAGTCAACTGATGAACTATCAACCAGTTATTTGGCACACAGGGTGTTGGTATGTAAACTGGAGTTATTATTATTTGGATTTCTTTTCAAATAATCTACATCTATTGTATGTCAACTGCCTACTGTTGGTTACAACTGTTTGTCTATATAATATCCATCTAACCCCCTTAGCAAAATGAAAAAGTTTTCAGCAATACTGTTGCTAACTTAAAGTTTGCAGCAACGAGTTTGCAAAAAAATTTTATTGTAGTTAATTTGCAGCCATATTGCAGCAAATTTTCTGCAAATTTGCAAGAAGGAATTGCAGTTAGCAGCAATATTGCAGATTTGCAGCAGGCCTGATATTTTGCTAAGGACAACCTTTATACATATTCATTGTACATTTGTACCTTTTAAGCAGTAAATACAGACATAAGACAGGCAAGTTTGTTGGGTCAGCTAAAGGGGTAAAAAGGTCCACTTTTTCAGACCTCCCTAAAAATTGCCAGCTATAGGCCTGATAGGTGTGCTAAAACAGAATATTTGGATTCCAGTGATGGCATTACAATGTAGAATACCTTTGGCAGCCCTGTTGTTCCTGATGTATACAGCAAATAAACAGGATCTGTGGCATCAACAGGGACACAGTCATGTGGCTGGCTGGTTGAAAGCTCTTCAACAAAGTCATAATCTCTACCACTGGTCATGTCAGCAGCAGGGAGCTGCAACAAAGTGAAACCCCAGTATAAGTGTCTGAAGTGTTTATCATAACTATTATCATATAAAAATAATTGGAAAGGCAGAACAATACTTTTAGATGAAGACAATGAAACTGCAGTACTATATCTAATATTTGTGTCTGTTGAAATAAGTTTGTTAAAATAGCATTGTCTGTGCTCACACACATGCTCACACACACACACACACACACACACACACACACACACACACACACTTTTTGATATTGGGGTAGCTACTGGCCAACTTAACTTCTAGGCTTACTTGCCCAACCAGGAAGGGCTTATATATATCAAAGGTTGACAACTAATACACTTTCATTAAAATTCAAATGTTACCGGTAGTCCCGATGCCTCAGAACATGTTCTGTTGTAAATCAGGCATGCATTGGGTTGGAATCCAGACAGCTGTATGGCCTCGTCAAGTATAGGTTTGTAGGAAACTACTCTGCCAGGTTCAATTCCACAGTTGGCGCTCACAATAACTTTAGGCTGAAAGTGAAATTGTTTAATACCTCTATCAGTATTTTGCAATTATCTACATATCATACCTTTTGCTAAGAGCTGAAGTATTTATTGTGGTGCATTAATTGGATTCATAATTTTTGAATCAAAGTACGTAACACTGTACAGTTTAAATAGATATTGCAATATTATAAGATGAGCCTATTTTTTCTCACATCTCTAAGTGCAAAAAGTAGACTAATAAGAGTAGCAGGTGCAGCTTGAAGAGCTGTCAGGCAAAAAAAAGGGTCTGGGTTATGTTACAAATGAAATGCTAAAAAGAAGGTAGTACAAGTACATATGTGGCGGGGGGAGGGGAGAAGCAAGCTATTGTGACTTAAATAGGTAAAGTTTTCTATCCAGAATTAATACTCTGTACCATCTAATATTATATATATATATATATATTTCTTTTAAAAAAATTCCATTCCTTTTCACAAATATACAAAAACTTGAACCTTTACTGAAAATGCTTATATTAGCTTGATAAATAACTTAAATTCAACACAATAAAATATAAAAAATTCTGAGGAAGTGTAAAACATCATTGAGCCAGTGAGTTTGCTTATAACATTAAGCCAAGTCTTGAAAAGGTCAAGTTATTACTTTGAATAAAGAATAATCAAAATAACCCAACTGAAGAATGTATTTTTGTGCATCCATTTTGCTTTGAATTAAGCCATATCTTCAACTTTTATCACCATGACATTAATTACGTCTAATAGACTAAGGGATTATGTAAGAAGCCAAACTTGTCCCTATGCATGACTTAACACTGTACTAATTACAACCTTCATCTTGTTTACAACACACCTCTGCATGAGCAATCCTTGTTGAAAGCTCTTTGGCAGCAAACCCACCAAACACTAATGAGTGTACAGCCCCAATTCTTGCACAGGCCAGCATAGCTATGATTGCTTCTGGGATCATAGGCATGTAGATCAACACCACTTCCCCCTTTTTAACACCATGCTTAGTTAGGGCACCTGCAAATCTAGACACCTACAAAAAAATAACGTAGAAAAGATTAACACACAAATATCAGTCATGACTTGGACGTCCTTTTCTTAATTAGACAATAACAATTTTTCACTGTCGAAAAGAAGAGAAGAAAAAACACAGACATATAAAACCATATGTATGGTTAATCTAGATTGCCCAAAGATAACACAACTTTGTTTATTTTATTTGGTATATATAGTTCAATCTGCACGGGATATTCACCTGATCCTGCAGTTGTGCAAAAGTAATCTTCTGCTGTGTATTGGTCACAGGGCTGTCATGAATCACTGCTACATGGTCACCATAGCCTTGTTCCACATGGCGATCAATTGCATTGTAACACGTGTTCAACTGGCCTCCAACAAACCTGCACTCAAGCACAGAAATAATCCAAGTAAAAATAATAGCATATATGATAAAAAGAATACTCCAAACAGGAATATGAAAATGATACTGCATAACATATTTTTTTAACTTTAGTAAAGCCAGTTATCTATCATTTACAAAAACATACTGTGTGCAACACAGAACTTCTGACGGGTGCTAGTTGCAGATCTGCATACTGCATAGCGTATTTTTTTAACTTTAGCAAAGCCAGTTATCTATCATTAAAAAAACTTATTGTGTGCAACACAGTACTTCTGACAGATCTAGGTGTCTATTTTTATGGCCTTGATGATGGACAATTTGTTTAAGACGTTGAAGATATTTGTAACATAGTCTTTAAAAAGTTCTATTACTTATGCTTTATGTTCAGAAATATCAAAGACTTATATGTTTTTCCATAGAATAAAAAATAAATCTGGAAAAAATTGCTAGACAGGCCTAGACAACCCTTCCACAAAGTAGGCCAATGATTCTCCATTCAATTTTCAGGCAACACATCAAAGGTAATATTAGGCTAAAAAATAGGGAAGCCACAATAAGATTACCTCAACTAAGTTCACTAGACCAAAACATTCAACCTGTGACAAGCATAATAAATAAAACATAAGAAATGAGACCATTTTTGTAACCTGGGGTGAACTCATTCTTAACCACCTGGTCAATGACTTTTACTTGAGAAGCTCAGTAAATATTGACAATCTGTTGAATGCTTGTATACCTGTGTAACATCAAACTATTTACCAAAAGTTTTTTTAGTGTTCAATTCTGGGATAACTGAAATATCATGTAAACAACTTTGGTAAACAATTCTGCTGATGTATTTAAGGTCGTTTTGAAGGACAAACTACTTCAGCATATCAACTTGCAATACCAGGTACAGTGATTTTCAGTAGTGAGCTAATACCAATCTGGTATTTAGCACATGCTGAGGTGTAATAATGAATCCACAGTTTAGGGCATGGTGCAGACTGAATGCAGCATTTTTCTTTAGAATTTTTGCTTATTCACAACACCTGACATTATAATCATGTGCATGACCTATATACCAAATTCTGTGGCTTAGTGTAGGTAATTCAAAATTATTCAAGCGTGTAAGTTTAGTCTTGATATAAACAGCCAATTGTCTATCTTACTTTTATATGTTCTTTATGAATAAGTATCACCTTTCTAAACTCAAGATGAAATGCCATAATAGTTCATTTACATTTTTTATTTTCTGAAATACTTGGTTTAAGCTTTTCTATTTCATGCAATTTTTATCACATACAGGCAGCATTTTCTTTTTGGTAGTTATTAATGTGTATTGAATAATTAAGGTTACATATATGACAACATCAAATTCATTTGGAATACTTATAATCAATGTAGATCAGTTTTTTTATCCCATGGTAGTACAGTACATCTAGTGCAGTATTATAAATACAGGCTACTTTGTCATTTTAAGAGTTTTCAAATGGTAAGAGTCTTCTATGTGGTACTGAGCGCGTTTAATTGCAATTCTGCTGTTTTCTTATACAAATCCTTTTCAGACAATAAAGAAGATGTTGAAGGCAGCAGCATGAGCTCTGACACTTCTATTTACACACTCTCAAAAAAAAAAAAAAAAAAAACTGATAAATGGCATAAAAAATCTATGCATTAGCACTTGCATTATGTTTTCTTTTATATATTATACTAATTGAATGCCGAGTGTGGGCTGGTAGATTTTTAAAAAATGTAAATTAATAATGTAATTTTTTAAAAGTGTTATAAGAGTGCTAGCACTGTGACTTTTATTACTATTTGAAGACAGGAAAATGCACCCTAAAACTAAGACCAAAATCCATGTGTACCTACTGCACTCACACTGGTAGAATTACAATACAACACTTTTTTAAAACTTCATCTACACTGTCAAAACAATTAAAAATACAACATACAACTGTATATACATCCAGGTACCTACAACTGATATAGTGCATGAAGTCTATTGAGTGAAGGCAAGGGAGAAAGTACATAGATGTTCACTGTAACATTTATATACAGGCCCGTAGTCAGGGGGAGTCCGAGGGGTTCGATAGAACCCCCCTTTTTGCTGGGAAAAGGTCTGGGTAAGTTTGATCGAGGTACTGGTAAACTAAGTTTTCATGACAAAAGGTCATCACTTTAAGAAAATGAACTCCCCTTCAACAATTGCTAGCTAAGTGCCTGATATAGAAATATACAGTACTTGCTATTCATGATTTGAGTACAAAATTGAAAATTAGATTAGAAGTATTTTAAAAATAGTAATGAGCTTATTAATTGTTTCTTACCATTTTGAGAAAGGTGGATTGGAGTTATCAAGAACCTTATCGAATTTCTTCATCCATGAAATGTTTTCAGCAGCTTCAGCCCAGAATTCGTCAGGTTTGGTTTTGGACTTCATGAATGCATTGTTGTAAACATGTTCGTAGTGGGAGTAACGTCGCCTGTTGTCTACCTTTGCAGAAATGACTCTGGAATTATTCTGCACAGCATAGATTTGGCAGGTGCTTAATTTCTGTAGCTGTGTGCGAGCTGCTCTAACAGCTGATGCCATCGTGATGAGGAAAGAGGAAAAATGAAGAGCAGTTATCTGTCTGCTGCAAATCTCTCGTCAAGGCCCTCAACCTGCAAGACTGAGCTGCTGTACGGTAAATTCGCACCTGACTTTGTTGGGAATGTACAAGTGACCTACATTTTATATCTGGTCTCAATAAATTGAATAATATTACATTCATATATTTTAGTTAAATCAAAAATCAATAACCAGACAAACTAAAATAATATTTTTTAATCTTAAAAGACATGAAAACACCATATTGTGTGCAAATTTGTGCATTTTGTGATCATTATATTTTTCATTTTAGACCAGATAAGGATATAGGTCATTTTGAGAACTAGTTCCTAAAATTTTTAGCCGCAACATTTCTATATGTTGTCTAGACTTGAGTCACAAAATGCCTAGATGATGAATCAGTCACACTACAATTTAAATTTTTAGATAATATGGATAATTTTGTTCATAGTAATTAGGAATAATTGCTAAATTGCATACCCTTGATGATAAGCTTATATGTGTGAGAACTAGGCAATACAACTGAGGGAGACGAACCAAGAGGACGAAGGTTCCAGAAAGCACGTGTCCGTGCAAGGAAAGTTTATTTACCAAAAAATACCCCTTTTGCAAAGTAACGTTTTGTGTTTGATCATTGTGTGTATTACTTTCGAAATTGGGAACTATAAAAATGTCAGATAGTTTGGAAGAAAGCACTCCATCTTCTGCCAACGCGGAAACCATGGAAGTGGATGGTTCTGGACCTCAAAGCGAAAGCGAAACAAATAGGCCAGAGATCAGTCCAAATGCCGTGGATCTGAAAGACGGTGGTGTTTTCAAAGAAATCAAGAGAGAGGGTATTGGGAGTGAGACTCCGTGCACGGGAGATGAAGTTTATGTTCATTACACAGGGAAGTTAGTGGATGGGACTGTTTTTGATACCAGCAAAACAAGAGATGAGTTTTCCTTTAAACTGGACAGAGGTAAATAGGTATACTTATAACAATTTGATTGTCAACAGATACATGGACTCAGTAAAACATTATATCTTGGTCACAGTACACTTTTATGTCTTTTATCCAATCAGCAACAATATATACACATTAATGTGGATTTTCAATTGGGTCTAAGTATAGTACATGTTTGTTCTTGTCTCACCTTGTATGTATTTACATTTATCTTCAATTTTTATTATTTCTTCCATTGCTATGTAATTATTGTTATGTTATCCTTGTGTCATCTTTGAAAAATTGATCACACCTTACTTTGAAGGCCAAAGTCAATAAAATATTCTATTATTAAAGCCTAAGGCTGAACTGAAATCATCAGATTAAAAATGCATATAGTGTGATACTGTTTTTTTTTTTTTTTTTTTTTTTCGAGTGACATAGCTACAAACTCAAAGATATACTTTTGCACCAGATTTATAGAAATGAAGACCAGTGAGCTATTTAATTCAGATTATAAGAAAAACACAAATAATGATCCTACATTCTAACTTTTTTCTTTAGGGAGTGTCATAAAAGCATGGGATATTGCACTTGCCACAATGAAGGTTGGAGAAATGGCAGAAGTGACATGTCGACCTGACTTCGCATATGGTGATACTGGAAGCCCACCTAAAATCCCTCCAAATTCTTGGCTGATCTTTGAAATTGAGCTTTTGGGTTTTATGGGTAAGTGAAACAGCATAAGTCAACATAAGCAATCATGATAAAAAATAACATCACTTTCTAAAAAAAAAATACCATAACAAACATAACACATCTCCTAAATCATTATTTTAAATGAACTTTGGTCAAATATACTAGTACTCTGTAACAGCAGTTCATGTAGGAATTCTTTTACTTTCATTTCAAGTAGATCTAAAAAGAGTAGGATTTTATTGAATTGTTATTAAAGACATAACCATAACTTGGTTTAGTGACAGCTAGCTTTAGTTTTTCAGATAATACTACAATGTCCTAATGAAAGAAATGAATATTGAGGATTCATTGTTTTTATTTATTATTATATTTAACAGGTGAAGATGTCTCAACAGACAAAGATGGTGGTGTAAGAAAAAGTGTCATTGTAAAAGGAGAAGGATACAAGACTCCTAATGATGGTGCTCAAGTTGAAAGTAAGTTTTTGAACTGGTTAAATATAAATGTCCACATGTGAGAGTGTATAGTGTGTACATGGTTAATTTTATGCAAAGGCCTAATGGAGGTTGTAAACATGAAAAATATTTTTAGCAAAAGATTGATTTTCACTAGATGAATTAAGTGGTACATAACATGTACACATTCAAAATCCTTTCTTGCAAAACAGTAATGATGAAATGATTTAACTCATTTTTACAGTGCACATTATTGGCAAATGCAATGGCTCTGTGTTCGAGGACAAGGATTTGGCATTTATAGTCGGTGATTGCCAAGATGAGGTTGTAGTGGAAGGAGTTGAAATGGCTGTAAAAAAGCTGAAGGAAGGCGAAACAGCCAGAGTTAAAGTGCAATCAAAATATGCATATGGTGGAGAAGGAAGCATAAAGTACGGTATTCCACCAAATGCTGACTTAGAATACGAAATGAAAATGAAAAAGTTTGAAAAGGTAAATCAAGAGATGAGTTGATTTGAATTTTCTTGAAAATGTTGAACAGTTTGATGTTTAATTTTGTGCAGTCCCTTATGTGGTCAAGTTGAACATTTTGATACTCATCAAACAATCACATAACATGGTCTTTCCACATTTTAACTAGGTAAAAATTTCAGATGCTTAAGTACTGATTTTAGAAATGCTAAAGATGGTAGCCATTTACATGCAAATATTTGCAATTTTCATTGTTAATTTTTGGTTTTCAGTTATAAAGACAGCTAGAGGATGGGTGACCTCTTCTGGTCCTTAGTCCCATAATTAGCCATAAAGTTAGTAAAGAAGCTTTGAAAAGGGATTTGCTACCCACTCATTTTCTTCATATCACAGGTCCACAAATGTGTTTTGATTAATTTTGTTGTCTTGTGTTTCACATTGCAGGCCAAAGAATCATGGGAAATGGATGGAAAGGAGAAGCTAGATCAATCTGAAGTTGTTAAAGAAAAGGGAACCAAATTTTTCAAGGTACAAGGAATTTTCAAACATTATAACAATGTGTTATTCCAAGTTTTATTTTAGTCAGTGAGATTTTAAAAAAACACATCAGATATACATATGCGTAACATCTATATGTAAACTTGTATATATTTTTAGAATATTGGTAATGATTTATTTTATTATTCATTTATTTTTTATTTATTTACTTTTGTATTCAAGTAACAACAATATTAAATGTATAAGAAACAGTTGTTTCTTACTTTTCTTTGTTTTACTCTCTTGCTGTGAAGGAATTCTGTACAGATTGAACATTTTTTAACATTGTAGGAAGGTAGTTATAAGAAAGCAATAACATCTTACAAGCGGGTTATTAGCTACCTGGAATATGAAACTGACATGGAAGGCGAAGAGAAACAGAAGAGAGATGCCCTGATGCTGGCTGCTTACCTTAATACTGCAATGTGTTATTTAAAACTCAAAGATTATGTTGAGGCAAGGAAACATAGTGATAGTGCCCTGGGCATAGATGTAAACAGTGAGAAGGGGTACTACAGGAGAGGAGAGGTAAGAATGTCATGTCTGAAGCCAGCATTTTCAAAGGGGATTTTTTTTTTCCTTTTTGCAAAATACTTTATCCAAATATTTATATTTGCTCTAAGTCCTTAGAGTAGATAACTATCAAATGGAAAAAGTTCGGTCTATTCAGAATTCAGTCACTGTTCTCCTCTATAAAAGATGTGCAACCATATCACTCCAGTTCTCTGTGATCTTCATTGGCTACCTGTGTCTCAAAAAATTGTCTATAAGATATTACTCCTGACTTAAAATTTTAAAGGGCGACTGTCCATTAAACATTTTACAGGAACAATATAATAATGCTTTTAACTCTTCCATCCAGTGGTCAATTTCAAGCGAAACCATATAGAAAAAACTCTTAAAACATACAGCCACAGTAATTTTGATATTGCTGCACCAATTTTATGGTTCAGTTTCATTAACAAATCAATTAAAAAACGTTTTTATTTAAAGAAAAATTTAGTTAACTTATACCTTTTAGTTTTAATTACTTTTATATTAGTTTTTAATTTATCTGAGTAGTTATACTTTTAATATACATATGTAAACAGTGCTGAGACACATGTTAAGAAATGAATTATTATTATTATAAGTCTAGTTTTTTTTTTTTTTTTTTTTTTTTTTCATGTCCGTATATTGAAATGTTAGTCCAATTTTTATTATTTCATACACAGTCAAATAATGAGCCTGTTTTTTGCAATGTATATTTCAATGATATTATATTAGAAAAGAATTTTTCTCTATGATGTTTTTCAGGCTAATATGGGTTTAAACGAATTTGAAGATGCAAAGAAAGATTTCAGTAAAGTATTAGAGATAAACCCCAAAAATAAAGCAGCAAGGGATGAGCAGATGAGAGCAAACAAGAAGATAAAAGAGCAGAATGCCAAAGAGAAGTCTATTTATCAGGGGATGTTCAAGAAATTTGCAGAGGCCGATTCAAAGGTAAGTCATCAACATGTCATCTGATATCTTATAGTAGTCATAATTTTAGTTTAAAGTTCATATGTTAAGCTGATAGATTTTGGGAAAGAGAACAAAAAATAACTAAGGGTTTGTTTTTTTTAATGCCTTCAGTACTTTTTGGTACTAACACTTTTAACCACCACTATTCAGATTTATTTTTATTTTTTGTGACCATGTTTGAAAATACATAAAAGCCAATTTAAAGGCTACTTATATTGCTTTTATTATCACTTCTGGTAAAGATACCTTTTTTGAATTGTGTTGTAATTTCTTTACTTAGACAGCATTCAAAAGACTATTTACAATGCAACCTCATGAGCTGTCTTTTTGCGTAAAAAAAATTGGAAATATGCTTAAATACCAATTTAAAGAAAATTTTTATTTTTGTTAGAATAAATGTTTTCAGACCAAATGTGCCATGGATTGTTCTATTGATAAAATGTTTTACACCTATGCACACATTTTGTGTAGGTAATCTTCCCTATGGTAATCTGTACTTCATTAATTGGTTGTAATTTCGACCTTTTTCTGAATTTGTAATTACTAAATTTTATTTGTATGATTTACACCACAATATGACACATCAGGAAGATTATTTTACCACCAATGAGCTGAAGACCAGCCCTAATCAACCCATCTTTTTCTGCAGCCTGATAGTCTATACAGTGGGGCTGTATTTGAAAATGTTGACGAGTGGTCTAATGACATGGCAGAAGGTATGATGCCATTAGAGGAAGAAATGGAGGCATTTGGGGAAACGGCTCGAATTCGAGGCAGTAAGACCAGCAATCACCACAGGGAGGACTTGGATGATGATTAGTTCACCACCTGCTCTGTAACAGCTCCTAGGTAAATGAGGGAATATAGGTAGCTGTATGTGGTTGCAGGCAGTTGTGGCAATGATTGTCATATGTCCTGTATTTGTAGTTTGGCAATATTTCCCTCTGATATGCTCTTACTAGTGTCCAATCCCCCTCTTACCGCCCCCCCCCCCCCCCAAAAAAAAAAAAAATTGTTTAAGCTATAATGGAAACTTTTTCAAATTATTTGATTAATCAGTAAAAGAAACATACAAAAGATTAACATAAGGTATCCAACTGAACAAATGCTGCATTAGTATCATGTAGGCAGGTTATTAGTCATTTATTAAATTTGTGCTATATCTTTCCACAGACTTAATCTAAGAATCACAGTGTTTGCAGCTGTACTTGATAAAACAGCCTTGATGGAAATGTTTTATATATCCCCTTTGGGGAATTTTTCATTTCTGTTGAAAGGAAGTATAAAAAGAATTACACCCCACTCTCTTATACAAATACTATTGGAATGCTTACCTTACCTTTATTGATAATTGTAACATAAGAGAATTGAATGACATTTATATATATTGCCATTGGAGATCAATTGGTATTAGTTATTTATGGTAGAATAATTTTAATATTTTTATTCATACAGAGCAGGTGGTGAGAGTAGTCTTTTTTTTTTAAACCCTTAGCAGGAGACGTGGCAGAATGCAGTATAGTAAAGAGTGGAAACCATGGGACTATTATTTCACGGACAGAACATTATGATCACAATCTGTGGTTTTAATTTTTACTTCATATATATGGTGTTTAAGCACCTGAGAAGCAGCTTTAAGGCTAAGTAAATTCTTTTTTATTGTTTCAGGGAGTCAAAGACAAAGCTGTTGATGGACCAGGAAGCGGCGATCAAGCCAAGATGGAGACACAGTCTGAAGGAACTGCTGTGTAGGTCACAACCTAACAACAGGGCAAAGATGAACAGATGCATTATTCCAGGAAACAAATTGAACATTTGGACAGAGATGTGCAAAAGAAAGAAACCGATAGAGGAAAGTGTGTCAGATTAAGAGATTTAGGGAAAAAAGTAATTTTTTGAGCTGTTTGTAGACAACAGACATTAAAAAATGCTGCCTCATTTCTCTATGTGTCAACTTAATTAATGAAACAAGATGTGAACTGTAAATTTTTTATGTGTTGTAATCATTTGTAATTGTACATTCGTATGTTAGTTATTCTCTTGAAAATGCTTCTTTGGCATTTTAAAAGAAGAATTGCAGCTGTAAAATAATCAAAGGTGCAGTTTTTTAATGTTTTAGAAATAACTGTATTTGGATATGCATTCCTTGTATAAAAATGTCATCTTCATGTTTATATGAAGTAAATCCTTGCATCTAGCAGATTTGAATGCAGTAAGTGTTCAACTAAATGCATTAATTAAAAGAAGTGGTTACTTTCTTTGCAGTTGTTTTCAGTACCTCAAACATTACTAGTTATATACAGACACTTTGGTATTTTTTTTCACCCTATAACTTCCAAATCACATTGTTTTACTTAAAATTTTTCCCCACTTAATCAAATAATTATTGAGAAAAAAAGGAACTTTCTCATACAAACAAATTATTGCTACTCCCATACATGCACTTGTACTTGATGTTTTATACCATTTCTGGGAAAATCATTTGGTGACCAGTTACAAAAACAGTCCTGTTTTCCTGCACATTTCAGAAGGAAATATCAGCATCAGGTAGCTTTATTTAAGTACACTGCAGCAATCCTGTCCATGAAATGTACTGGTAGATTGAACTGTTTGTGAAAAAAAGTTGCAAAATTGTCTTTTACCAACCTTCACATATGCATAATTGCATTAACATAACAATAGACAGGTGAGTAAACTGTATCTGTCTAAGGGAGTGTTCAGATAAACCCACTGTACCAGCTTGGTTGATCCAACTCTGTGGGGATTGTCACATATTAAGGGGAGTCAGTGTAATCATCTTATAAAAATTTAATCAATAAATCTGTTAGCCCATATATGCTCATTCAAAAAAGTTCAACATTTCCCTATTTTGAATAATTATAAAATTTGAGCTTAGATAAATATTTTAACCAAATATTGATGGATAATGCACTCGCCATTTGTATCTTTTATATATACATGGAAGATTTTCACACTACATTACATAGTATTTTAATTATTGAAAAACACTTGTATGTTTCTGAACTTTTTTGGTCGAGTGTAGATTCCCTGTAAGTGTTCTTTGCAAATTATTTTAACAGCAACTCCTCAATCAAAAAGTGCCCTACCTGTTGTAATTTGCTTGACAATAAACCCTTCAGTAGAAAGAGGTAGAACAAGTAGAAAGCAGTTATGTGTAATGTACATAATTCGATAATTTGTTATGTATGGTTTTGTAAGAGTAATATACAAGTCTTTCTCCTGCTGTGATTCGAGTTTTATTTTCTGGCGGCCAATTATATGCCATGAGGGGTGATGTTCCAGGCAATTCCATTTGAAGGATGACAGCCAGGACAAGTTCATTCCTTTTCAGGGGTGACAGTAAGGTCAATTCTACTTTGTTTGTGGGGAGTGACAGTTAGCAATAGTCTGTTCATTCTGAGGAGAGGTGGGACTGAGTCCAAGTCTGTCAGAGTGAACAGACAAAATGGTAAACAGGTAAATCAAATATCTCAGATATTTATCTGGATCTATCATAAATGAAAACTTTTTGACGGGTAACTGCACCATCTAACCAAGGCGCAATCTAATTCTTTTGTTTTGTCTGTATGTGAATTATTTATGATGTCTAGATCTTATGTAAATCACTTTCTAAGAGTAATAGAGTTGAAAAGAAGTTTTTCTAAGTCAAACAAGAATATATTTTTGGTAGTTTATTGTTACATATATGCATTTATTTTCCTACAAAATGACATGGGCATGTATAAAAAGCTTCTCTGAAGCACCACCCACAGAAGATTGTACCCAACACTATATCAGTTCCACAATTCTCTAATTATTAACATACTTATGTAGAAAGAAAAGTTGAGGACTTGTGCCTTGAAGCTGTATTAAACCAAATGTTCGAAAAAATGATCAAATGGACATTCCACAAAACAAGTCTCCTGGAATACTAAATAATACTTTTACTTTTTGAAAGCCATAACTGACAAGCATTAGCCATGTGGATATAACACTTGCTAAAGGCTATATATGGTTTTAATACCTTTTTGAAGTAAAAACACTGGTTGTTTTCGTTCGATTCCAACTCTTTTTTTAAGAAATTTTGTTACAATTCAAAGGTATAAAAGTTTCAAAATTTATCAAATCATATACATACAAAAAGTTAAACATGATCAAATAAAATAATGTTATGGACTTAACCGGGTCTTTTGGCATAAAATACTCTACATAAATGATGCTTTATATATGGATATATATGAAATGTACAAAACAAAAAAGAGTAAATAGAGTAAATTGTTAAAGCTGCAAGTTCAAAATAAGTACCTTTCAATAGCTCATACACCAAATCATAGAAATTCAGATCAGTATGGTTGGTCTTCTTTAAATATCTGCAGAGTGCCCTTACAATCACTATTAGGTATAACTGTAAAGCAGCAGTTTTTACACTATTTGTACACTTAAATAAAAAAGAGCATATTATTGCATAAAAATAAAGGGCTACTTTCTAGGATAAATGAAAGTATAATACTGGATATTGCAACACTACTGCTCTCCCCCACCAGTTATGAAAGACACCTTTTACTCTGGCAATAAGAGCTACTAAGCTACATATATTTCATGAATAATATAACCTGTACATTTCTAAAAATACTGTCAACAGTATTCCATCAAGAAATTTATAAGATCTATAGTTTATATGGTTAATACACAAAAGACTACGCTGTTCAGATCAGAGATGGAAAAAATCTGGTCACAGAATTGCATGAATGACTAGATGGCCACGCCATGATAAATGTGAAGTACAGTATTGTCAATTTGCTGTTGATCTTCTTCTCTGATATACTGTGTAATTTTACTTCTGATACAATACAAAATACAAAACATTCCAGTGACACAAATACCAGTTTTGTCCACACAGCCACTTCTTTTAAGAAACAAATTGGAGAGAAAATGAAACTTCACAAAAGGTTAGTATAGTATTTGTCATCAATTTGCCTGTACAATTCCAACATTCCAAAAGTACTTCAAGTTTCCCTAAACTCCATGCCCATGGTAATCTCTTTATCTATGGCCAAGAATCGTGTTTTTTTGTCATAAAAACCTGTCACTTTTTTCTTGTGAGTAAAACTTTCTTCAAACATCTCCACTGAGGAGAGGGTAACTGATAAATGGATATGTACAAACCTTAAGGAAATTGCATTTAAAAGTAAAACAGCAGAGTAGTTGGAAGATATGATTCATGGTCCTGTTTCTTCTTTCTGTTAACTAAGATGGTCTTAACTGATGCCATTTATGCTTTATAAACAATTTTCAAACAAAAGAGCATTGTAAATATTCACATACTGACACTGCCATTCTGACACAGATCTAAACTGCTCCACATAAGTGTGCAGAATGCAAGATATGCGACAAGAAAGAAATGACAGTCTTCTATTGGCATTTATAGTGAATTATCAACATATCTTGGAAATATAAAGGTCTTACATCCAGTAAAATGATGTTAAACATACCCTTACATGTTATACATTATTGGTCATTAAACAAAGCAAAACTAGTAAGAGTAGTACAAACAAATAACACTTAACATATTACCCTCTCACTAGATGTAATTAAACTGGAAATAAAATTAAACAATACAAACATATTACTAATAGATATACATATTTGTTGCAAAAAAAAAATTGTTTACATTACATGCACTTGGATTACACAGACTAGACTGGTTTTCCATACAGAAAAAGCACCTTGCTACATGTAAGATATAAAACTAAAAGCTTTGAGAATATATTGTACAAAAATAATGCTATTTACATCTCCTGTAAACAATATGAAAAGTTCACTCTTGGTGTAGTAAAAAAAAAGGGTAAGCAAATGAATATATGCTGTTGAGATTTTTCTCCAGAAATGCAGGGCAAAAGAAAAAATGCTTTTTACTGAGAAATACTTTTTCCAATCTTCAACAAAAATGATATCTAATGATATGGCAATTTATCATATGAAATGAAATGTTTAACCAAGACAATGTCTCTCATGGCAAATTAACTGTTACCAGTAACATCTGGTCTTACAACTGAAAACAGATATGGAATATAAAATAAATCAGCCCTAACAAGAAAAATACATATAGCTACAATGTTAAATGCTGCCCAAAGCACTTACTAGTAAAAAGCAGATGTTATCAGTTTCAATCCCTCCTCCTTATGGTCTTTAACTTTTGGGCTACAAATCAAACACTTGGACCACTATACAAGGCTTTTTGGTCCCTATGAACATCATGTAGTTTAAAGAAAACTCCCATCTTGCAAAGGGTTAACTAAATTTGTTTTAGAGCTAACATCAAGATACAGACTGTTTGAATGCCTGTGTTAAAATAAAGAATCCATCCCCCCTCCTCCTAGTTTCCATTTAAGTCAGGTCCACCTAAGTGAAAATCAACTAAATGACATGCAACTTACCTAAATTAATGGTGGCCAGCAGGTAACAGGGAGATTAGATTAGCTGCCTATGGTGAGCTAATCCTTATCAGGTAACGGTGAGATATGGAGATATGGATCATACTGACACCCAACTACTGTTATACCAAGTTAAATAGTCTCTTCTAGATGTAGCCTTAAAACAGTCATTTAAGTTAACACATTGCTAGAGCCTAAATAACTGGCTGTATAAAAATATAATTAAAATAAGTAAATTTTAAAAAAAACAGCAGATTAAATATTTCAGCAACATAATCCCAATTCCAACAGTTACAATGCATATATTCAGTTAACCCATTGATGCAAAACACATCAACATGCTTATTCAATGATAATAAAAAAGCTTTAATATTGATTAAATGTAAATGCCATAGCATTACACAACAATTTCACAATATCTGAAAAAGAACTGCACTATACAAACATTAAATCTATCTCAAGTTTGTCTGGTAACTCTGGAATATGAATACGTAAAGAATGTATATATGTATCTAAAATAAACCTACACTAAAGTAGAACATTACAAAGTGGTAATAAAAATCTATCACTATATTTAATCAATTCAACTTGCCTGATTTGGCCTTTGATGAAACTGCACAAAATGTGACATGAAATCAAACTTGTCGTTGCAAACTCTGCCACAAAAGTTACACCTCCAAGGATTCTGGCTGTCATGCTGTGACTTATGCAAAAGAAACATGGCATATTCCATAAAAAGAATAGAACAGTGACCACAGCGGAAGACACGTCCTCTGGAAATAAGCTGGTGTAATAGCTGGTCATCTGTGGGCTCCTGTGTGGTAGATGAGATTCGAGCAGACTCGCGTGAACTCATATTGTCCCGATCTGTGGCATCGTGGTCATCTGCAGACAGGGACCCTGCAGAATTGGCTGGATCCTGCATGCCAAGGAGGTGGATGGAACTTTGGACAGCAGAACTGGACAACTGTCCAGGGCTTTGTATGGACACTGATGGAAGACGTGCTGGTACATCATCCTTCTGTTGCTCTGACCCCATTGCTTTAGCTTCAGCATCCCTCTGGATTGATTCTGGACTCTGAAGTTGTGGACAGCGGAGTTCAGAAGTTGTAGAGCTTAGATTCTGTGTGTAGGCTGATAAAGATGGACTGGAAAACACTGGTGAGGAACCAAGAGAGGGTTGATTCAGTGACATCGGTGGCAGTGGTGGTGGTGGCCCTTGGCTCTGTGGAAACAAAAACCCAGGCATTAAGGTTGACACAGGTGGAAGTGTCTGGGGCCCAGACCAGAATGGGATGGTGCTTGTTGCTGTGGTAAATATCTTCCCATGCAATTCAGTAATATGGTTTTGTAAATGTGAATTCTGAAAGGTACTGTATGGACAATATGGACAAACCAAAGCCTTCTCTCCACTATGAGTACGCTCATGGCGGCGACAAGTGGAATGCTGAGAGAACATCTTGCCACACACATTGCACTTGTATGGGGTTTCTCCAGTGTGGGTTCTCTGGTGGACCACTAGGTTGTGTTTCAGAGCAGTACGATATGGGCAACGATTGCAGTTGAATACCTTAGCCTTTTCCCCTTGGTGAGTCAGCATGTGGGTTTTCAGGCTGTAGCTAAAATTAGTGGAGAAAGGGCACTTGTCACATTTATGTTTCTTTGGCATATACATGGCTGGAGGAGCTTTTTGAATGATGTGCATGGCAGCTGGTACTTGCTCTTCTTTTTTGTCGTCACCATTTTCTTCATCCTTCTGTGGCTGTTCTGACGGACCTGGTTCTGACATATCTTCAGGTTCAATATGGTGTACTTGATCCCCATTTTCATCCAGAACCACTTCATTTCTCAGCTCCCCCTCGTTCCTCCAACTAGCACTGTATTTGGAATACATGTAATCGATGGGTTCCACTTTCACTGCCTCTTTGTTCCCACCATCCCCTAATGGGTTGGATACTTCAGAGGAAACATGGGTCGACTGCTGTGGAAGAGTAGGTTCAGCAACAGTGGTTCTCAGATCCATAGCATCAACAGGGAAGAGCTCAGGTGGACTGTTGTGTTCCTGTGTTGTAAGGGTTTGTTCTTGGCCCATCTCTGGGGTGTTTTCCACACTCATTCCAGGCACTTGGTCATTTGATTCTGACCCACCAGAAGGGGACAGGTTATCTAAATTTTGATGGTTCTCCCCATTTTCACTGTCCTGGTCTAGGGAACTACTTTCTCTCCTCATACTACTGTGATTGGCACCAGGCAAACCTATCATAGATGGCACTCCAGTCTTTTCAAAGCCTGGTGTCAGCATGCTAGGCATCCCTGGAAATAGAGAGCCATGCATCTCTTGGACATGTTTCTGCACATTAACAATGCGGAATGCACTGTATGAACAGTAGGGGCACCTATGGGGTTTCGGCTGATGGCCAGTGTGAATCCTCTCATGTCTTCTTACAGTAGAAGCCTGTGAGAACCTCTTGCCACAGATATCACACTTGTAAGGAAGTTCTCCTGTGTGAGTCCTCTGGTGGACAACTAGGTTGTAACGATGAAGAGTTCGATAGTTACAAAGACTACATTCATACACCCCACTCGCTTCTGCTTCATGTGTTTCTTGGTGGGTTCTAAGGTGATGGGCATGGGCAGTGGTAAAGGAACACTTTTCACACTTATACACCATGGTACCATTTGCATTCATCATCTCTCTATTGTGTGATTCATCCATTGGATTATTCTGAAAGTAGACAAGACAGGGATGAAACAAAGTATAGGTTATGTTACACAATCAGACCAACAGTACAAAACATTCCCCTTAAAGCCAATTTTTACACAACATAGTTAAAATATTCTGAACTCTGTTGCTAAATATCTTTCAGTTCAATTCTTTTCATCTAAATTGGCTGAGCCAATCTAGCTCATACTTTTGAATTTAATATCGTCATTTCACATAATGCTTTTACATCTTTAAAATATGCATATTGAAATACAAAGGCTAATTTTATTTTACAAATAAAGCATTTAAAGGCTAATTTACCATAATAGCATTTAAAATAGTTTTTACCTATTATTGCATTATTTCCTACATCAAATTATCTCTCTATTCAAACTCCATTTAAATATGTCCAGAAAAACGTTTTGCAACAAAATTTTCAGCAATTTTGCCAACTTCAACAAACTGTCAAAATAAAGCAATTGTTGGACTGTCTACTTATCAGCAAAGACGGTAAACTTGAGACTGTAAAGATGTTATCTGGGTCACTGAAAATCAAAACAAGGTCAACCACTTGCTCATCGAGGTCATTTAGTACACTGCATGAAAACCTTTTAATTTCTACCAAAATCAAGATGCAAACACTCTAATATCAACAACCGTTTGGTCCTTCATATATTCATGAGTTTGCTTAATGTGTCATAGTAGTATAACAACTCACCTTTTAGAAGAAATCCTCTGTAATTTTGCAGTCCACATTGTTTAGAAATAACAACCATGCTTTGTTTAATTTGATCCGACTAATTCCTGAAAAAGGAAATCGAGATATGATTTTTTACTTCTTAATTTGATATGAGAATATTTATTTTTCGTATTCTTAGAAAAGCATGTGTATTGGTATTATCTTATCTTGAGATTTAAATGAAGAACTATACCTTATTTGAAATTGTTTTGTATATATTTAGATATTTTTGGAAAAGGGGGAACTAGTCCAAGAAAGGTCATCTGCGCTACTGGTATGCGCAGACAAATGCTATTGAAGAAACGATTCACGAAATGATGTCTTAGCTGCAAAGAGCAATATACGTCGTATAGATAAACTCCGGAAAAAATTATTATTATGTCTAAAAGAAAAGAAGACAATCCGCTCGCAGGAGGTAAGGTTATTATTTAGATCTACGGTATATCGATTAAAGAAAAATAACCTGTCAACCTGTTATCGGCTGCGCCGGTGACTCAAAGCCAAAGCTTCAAGCGAAGACTGAATACTAGTAGTGACTGTTGACTGCGGTATGACAGAGAACATGGCATAAGCAAGCCAGCAAAGAGTGAAAAGACCGTATATGTTTTAACAACATTTAGGGCATATACGAAAAAAGACTTATGAATGCCTGCAATGAAAAATGAAAGAAGACCAAATTCGACTTCTGATTCAGTTACTTTAAGTGTGGTGATGTACACTCTTAATTACACATCATTTACACATTTAAGTACTAGATGACTCATGGTACCAGTAGGACTGACACAAGCTTAGACACTGTAACTCAAACTTCCAAGAAACTTCAATGTTACACTTTCATGTATTATTAAGCTTCTATACTGGTGCATTTGTACTATTAATGCAGGCATGAAAGGTAAATCTATGACTGGGTTCCCATACCTCGATGGATCTAACAGGACTGATCTGTCTCCAAGGGGTGTCTCTCTAAATTGCTTTCAGCTTAAGCAGCTTAGATGTCTGACACGCCTACTGAAGCTGCTAAACAATAATTAATTACCTCCTATCGGCTTCAGTAGGCGTGACAGACAGACATCTAAGCTTAAGTTGATTGCAATTTAGTGAGAAACCCCTTGGAGGTAGATCAATCCATAGTTAGTAGGATAGGGTCTGGGAATGGTGCCTATGATGCATGAACATCAGGAGCCATAAAAATCCAGAAACCATTTGTCCTAATTAAGGATACTTATCTCTAAAACAAATATATGTCCACATGGGATACTTCATTTTTATTGTGGACAGAAAACAAAAGGTCATGCCATACTCTTTTCCATGCACAGATGCAGTATGGTATAGATTACAGTGTGGTTTAATTTATTCTTGACCCAAAGTTTTACACAAACTTTACCTGATCAATTTTTCATCTGTTTTGCATAAAGTTTTGTTTGTACTTTATCAGCTATTTTGCATACTTGAAGTGAGATGGACCAGTATATGTAAGAATAATTCAAAATGTTTTTTTTTTTTTTTTTTGTCACAGGAAATATGAAAATTGACATATTTAGTTTAATTTTAAGAGGATTGGGTGAAGAGCTTTTGAGATACAGAACAACCAAAGTAACATAGGAATTATGAGTCTAATTTGACGTTTGTTGTTGTTGAGGTTAGAGGGGATGGGTCACATTGGCTGCTTTCAGTGAAAAATATTGTGAAATAATGAATACAGTTACTTTCAGCACTTGGAAGGAGACCTCGGCATAATCGAAACTTAAGTCGTGATGATGTAAGTAACCAGGCAAGGATTTTAGCCAGTCACTTCATTCATGACCGCTTGCAACAGGATGGTGCTGAAAATGTACCAGATGAGGGGGAGGTGATGCCTCCTGGAACTCCAACAGGTAACACTTTGCTATTTCATGTTATGGATGTTGAAAATTGTGTTGATGGAGTAATGCACATGTGGGCTTTATCATTAATTGATTAATCAATTACCCTGAATTTTCTACCAAGATGCACAAAATCAGTTTTGAGGTTAAGTCCTCAGAAGTCAAGACACCATCATTTTAAAAGGATTTCAAAAGCCCAATTTCATGAAGCTTATATAGGATATGTTTGGTGTTGGTGGGAATATGTCATTTCAATTTTTTAAAATTTTATTCACAAAGAACTTCTTTGGCTGTAGAGGGATTGACAAAATGCTTTATATTTCATTCTTTGAGTAATGATTTCAAACTGGCTTGGCAATTATGGTTGAACATCATTTTAAACCCTCTGTCTTCTTCTTTTTTTTTTTTTTCATTATCTAAAAGACTACAATTGTTGATTTGAATTACTGTAGACATTAACAAATAAAGACATATTAAATGAATGCATTTATCAACTATAATGTCATAAACCAGCAAAGTTTTATGCAATGCTACATTATCTTGTATGCTTTAGGTCCACCTATTGAAAGGATACGTGAAGTTGCTGCTACGATAAGAACAATTGGTGATGAATTAGATGGTGACACGCAACTTCAGAAGTAAGTTTCTTTTTAAAGATTATGACAGTTTATGCAGACTACAGAGGCTAACTGATGTACATGTATTAAATGAAATTGAAAGCACACCATGTGTCTTACAGCTGCTGTAGGTTAAGATGGGCAGTAAATGTAATTAAAGAAACTGAAGATATCGGAAAACAATCGTCCCCAGAGAATAATAGCACTATTTTGTCTTTTCAGTGCAATTAGTCGTATTCCTCAAGATTGCCCACGTGACTCTTTTATGAGGGTTGCCAGGACTATATTTCAAGATGGGATCAACTGGGGAAGAATTGTAGCGTTATTTTATTTTGCATACAAATTAGCTGCCAGAGTAAGGAACAAGCTTCAGTTATCCTTGTTTCTCGTATTGTATTTATGCAAAGAAACTTAGTCTGTACTGATTTTGAATATTTTCTGCTTAAGCCATATCAGTGATGAAAAAAGTTTTAAAACACTGAACAATTTACACTTTGCATAAAAATATTGTGAAATGGGTTATAACTAATGCGAGTTGTATTTCCATGTGACAATGAACTCTTTTGTTATAATTTTTGCTTATTTTCTTTTTCATTTATCTGTATTGTTTATTTATATGTTAATTATTCCTTAAAAGATAACATTGGTATAATATGAGTTCATACAATAATGAGTTTCATTTCAGGCTGTTGACAAGTTGAGTTTTATAAAGAGAATCATAGAATGGGTGGTAGAGTTTATCAAAGATTTTGTGGCAGAATGGATAATAGGCAGAGGTGGCTGGGTGAGTTGATAACAATTATGATTTTTCATTATTTTAAGTACAATTTAAGTCGAGCATGGATTCTCAGTAACGGATATATACAACTTCTACTACTTTCTTATGCAACAAAAATAAAGTCAACATGCCAAGGGATAAACCAAATTAATCCCTGGATCAGCCATAAAAGAGCTTTAAACTACACCTTCTTCAAATGTTTGGTCAGAAATTTGGCCTACTTATCAGACCTTCTTATCTGCCCTGTTTATATACAGCATAAAAAGCAAGCAGAAAAATCTGTTCGGGTAATATGAAAGGATATCCTTTGGTATTTCTCTGATCATTACTATTACTATTTGAAAGTACATGCTGGCATTTGGTTGGCTTTTGTGGTTAAAAATATACTTCAAATGCATCTTTAAGACATGTCTTTAAGACATGACATTGGTGTATGTGCAATTAACCTTCTGAAAATGTTTTGTTTAGTTACGTAATTTTTATACTTGAAATAAACAATGTTTCTTTAAAATGCACTTCATGTGTTTTAGATTTGTGGAAAAAAAGACCATCACTTACTCACCTTTTTACTTATACTTTTTTACTGCTAAACTTACCTTGGACTTAAAATTATGCCTGTGTTATAGTAATGTAATCTGAAGCAAGCATAGATAATATATAAGTTTTTTTTTTCCATGGCACAGGAGTCGGTTGTTGAATATCTTGGTACACCCACCATACAGGCAGCAGGTGTGATGTTAGCAGGATTCCTGGCTGTATTATACTTTGTGTGGTGGAAGTCCCGATAGCAGTTCACAAATTTCTCTCTATAAAACTTTATGTACTTCCACTTATCTTCAAACTTAACCTGACTTAATTTTATTTATTTTTGTTTAATTATTTTATTATTACTATTTTTTGTACTGAAAATTATTAAACAACTAAATATGTATGCACTTCCTTAGGATTTAATCTGCATTTTTGTTTTTCACTCTCAAAGGTTTTGTCTGAATGTCAGTGAGCTTGCGGCTCTATTAAGCAGTTACCTGTGAAAAGCAAAATTATGGAGTTGGTCCTAAAAACTGCTCATTTATTTTTTAAAAATAATATCAGGTGAAACAATTACAATGTAGCAATGTAACAGCTGTTTGGATAGGTTAGTATATCACTGAAGTAGGAGCATAATAACTGTCTCAGGATGCTGAAAAACCTGGATGCTATTTCCATATATAGCATTGATTAATGGATTTAAGGGTGCAGAGTTTTCAGCATGTTATGAATTTGGTATTATTATGTTGTGTTCATGTTCTTCCAAATATTGTGATAAACAAATTTTGTCAGAGATGTGTAATTTTAATTTCAAGATACAGAATGGCAACATATCCAACAGCAATAGGTATGGATAATAAATCATTCTTAGTTTCTGTTGTTATAAGATGGTGTAACATCTGTATCAGATGTGTTTCAAGTAACCTGGTTACAACAATTTAAGTAGAATTATATACAAGTAATTATTGGTGCTTTTTGTAACCATTTTAAGCAGTTTTTCATTGAAAGTTCACTTAAAAGAAGAGTTTATTGTGCTTTCCTGAGTTGAGTTTTGATGTGTTTAAGTTTCTTATAAATTGTGCAGTTTCATAATTTTTTCATACAGCTGGGAAATCAGTGTGAAAGTTTTTGGGACAAATACTTGCTTATGTTACCTAAAGTTCATGAGTATCATCTTTTTTTTTTTTTTTTTTTTNCTAGGAAACACTGCCTCAGGACTTTTTGACAAGTTTTATAAAGATAAGATTAATGATGCATATATGCGATGAGTTTAATTACTTGTTTAGATTTAATAAAAGTAGAATAAAAATTGTTTTTAGTCATTCAACTGTCACAATATATTTTTCAAGTATTTTGAGTTACATATGGTGCTTTGAAATGAATTGGCTACTTCTTAATATACATCTAAAATAGAATTGCTGATATAGAATGAGTTATTGATTGCCTGCAGTCGAAGTTGATTTTGCTGAGGGAATTTTTTTCTTTGCTGAAGAATTTATTTGCATTTTATGTCTGTTGATATTAATGTCAACCTCATGCGTCATAGTTTTTATTATGGCCTACATTGTAAGTGTTGTTATTTACATAAAACATGTTGACTTACTACTTGTTCCCTGGTTCCATCTTTGAAAGAATGCGTGCATTTAATGTACAGTTAGCACACTTTGTCTAATTATATTCTCAATAAAACAAATTTGCTTATGATTTTTTGTACTCTAGTCATTCAGAGTGCTGCGTAGTGCCATTTAATTTTGAAACCAATAACTTGTAGATAATATAATACCCTGCTGTTAAGTGTCTAATGATTGCAAAATGAAGGGCAGAAGTTTAGATAAGGCTTGGGCGAATAATATAATAGCCCACATCCTTCATTCCAAAGAGTTTTCTATCCCACTAATATGTGCTCAAACAAAATGAAGTATCTTTCGTAAAGAGTTTCAATATCGTCTGCACTGCTTATTACGTAAACTGGGATTTGAAGAGATTGAAATATTTCGGAAACGGCAGTTTTAAAGAAGATGCTAGCTTTCTCTTCAAATATCGCTCTAGTCGCTGACACAACAGGTAGGGATTCAATTTCCATCTTAAGGTGCGTCGTAGAAGTCCCGCATTCAGCCTCCAAAACTTTAGCAATCATTTGTTCATAATGTTGCATTGCAAAAACTCTATTTACGGTTGGCAGGTCTATCATTTGCTGGCGCACGTCACCTTGTTCTAGTGCTTTACGAAAAGAGGAAGCCCATGAAGTTTCTCTTTTCGTGAGTGCAACGCCGCGCGCGCATTCCTCGAAGGAAACTTGAAATGCTTTACGCAATATCTCATTAGTGGAAATGCTGACCTCAAGTTTCACACAAAAATAGTCAATAATCCATGCTGCTGTCGAAAAAGATACTCGAAAGTCCACCATTTTTTCGGCACTGTAACCGATCAACATTTCAAGTTCGGGGGAGCAGTGTGAACTTGAACAGCCAAAACTCGTACCCAGTTCTGTTTCCGCCATTTGCGTAAAAATCTCTAACAAACAATCAGATAATGTCAATACAGCCTGTAACTTATCCCAGGTAACATGTGCTTCGGTTCCCTTTACCGGACAGATGGCAGTGTCTTTTTGTGGAATGTTCTGTCGTGGAGTATAATCTGCCGCATCTTTGGTGGGTTGGGTCCGCATCATGATATTGTACAGGTAACTGAATGCTATTTTGTGCAGTGATACAAATCTGGGTGAAAACCTCGGGTACTTTTGACAACTATCTCTGTACAAGACATCTGGGTTAGGTATCCCAGTCATGTAAGTAAATCTAAGGCGCCTTCCGATCTCACAAATGACATCAAAACATTTGGCCTTTGCCTGAAAGGCATACTTTGCTAATACGCGCAGAGTTTTGGGCGGTACCTTTGAAAAAAGATTGCTGTCGTTAAGAAAGTAGTGTGGCAAATAACCAATGGATAAGTAATGAAGAACTTCACCCAGCAAGTACTGCATAATCAAATCGACTCCGCAATTTGACCAAAATGTCGCAGGTACTTTTTCGCATGCCCAGAAAAGCACTGTTTTCAGGTGATACGAGCTGAGGGCATTAGTTCCCGTTTTAGAACAAATATAATACTGTTTTATGAGCTTAAAAATGACAAAACATCTTCTTTGTTTAAGTGTCAGTGTCTGTGCAAGTAAACTCTCTGCTTTGGAAAATGAATATCTCCACTGAAAAGTGTCCGCGAGGCGCGCTCCTACGGGCACCAAAACGCAATCACACCGGCCAATTTGATCTATCAATTCTTTATTTGGCCATCCACTTTTGCGGGACCTCCTTTCCCACTTATGAAAGGCCTGAGGCCTTTGGCAGGCGAATGCTGTTACATTGTCAAAGTTCAAGTTCGGAACCAAATATCCACTTTCATGAAGAGTAGAAAGAGATACTGTTACGGCTGGTCCTTGTATGGTAATCAGGTCTATGAACCCCGATTTCCCATAGGCTTTCAGGCACGTCGTGATACCTGTTCGGGTCAAAGGTGTTGTACTCAGGTACATCACATTATCAATATTGTCGTTATGTTCGATTTTGATCAATTCTTTTAAATCGGGTGTGATTTTCAGCCTGACGTACACTGGGTCATCTGTATTTTCTACATGAAAAATGCAGCACTTTTTACCATTTGACGTTACCAACTCAGGACTAACTACCGTCATTATGTCTAGGTCACTGGTAATCAGTTTAGCTTGTGAAGTGTCCACTACCGAGTCACTGAGTCCTGTTCCTTGAAAGAAATCACCAGGAAAGATAAAATGACTAGGAATTGCTAATCCATCGCTCTGGCTGCCAACGACATTGAGAGACGAATTTCCAGCGTTTGGGTCTTTTGCCCCGACCACCGTCTCAATTACGATTTTAGTCATTTCAGCATTAACACGACTATTCGACGCTGCATTTTTAAGAAGAGATAAAGGAAGAAATTGATCCAGTACAAATGACAGCGCATCAGTTTGTGAGTTGTTGACTGAAACACCCATGTTTGCTGACGCCATTTGCCTCTAGGTGACCTACATCTTTGAACGCGATTGAATTAGAGCGTGAATTGTAGACATGAAGTATTGTTGAGTGAACGTTTTTACCAACACAGAAAATGTTAAACATAAATATGCTACTTCAAAACGGTCATGAATAGTGACTTTTTTCTAAATACACAAGGGCGTTTTACGGAATAATTTTTAAATGCGCAATGATAGATGGCTTTCAATCATCAATTAATCGAAAATTCTGAAAACCATTTAAAGTTTGATGCATCATAACGCCCATTAAAACGTTCTCTTGGGGGCCCCAAGTTTATGATACTTAGCACTAGTTTTTTTTTTTTGTACCATTTGAGATTGACAACTTATAGCCTGGAGCCCCTGGCTATTATGTAATAGAGTCAACTATACAGAGCTTCCCCGCAACGCAACTAGTTAGCTAAAAAACCGCACGTGTCCCTAGTATCAACACAAAGCACCTGCCCGATCGAATTAAGATTTCTCACAAAAGATATATGCAAGTTAAAATGCTGTGAGTGGAAAATGTATTCATGGATAAAATATAGAGCCCTTAGAACACCATGTACTCATTGATTGGTTTTCCAAGATAAATTAGACTTTTACTGCAAAGCTTGCTACATACTGTGAAATATTTAATAAATTATACAATCAAAAAATATAAAATGGGAGTAAGATGGAAATAAACATGTATTACATTGTACAGTAAAGCACAAAATAATTCACATAAAACTGATATTAAACTTCTCACAGAAATATCCCCAGTCCAATGGTGAGGTCAGTTTGAATCAATTCTACACTGTAAATGTGAAGAATTAAATAAGATAGGTAATAGACAGGGATGGAATAAAAGAAATTCCAATAAAAAAGGGAAATCCCAGCCCTTCTACTAAATTATCAACTCTTTTTGAAACTTGATGCAAAATCCAGACTCTCTCCAATATATCTTTTCCTCATATAATATGAAAATCCTTCAAAGGTATAGAAACATTTCTATTAGCTTGAATTTGTATTCCACACAAAATATTCAAGACAGTGCCTGGTTGCTGGCAAACCATTTTGCCTAACAACCTCTAGCACCTTCATATTGCAGTCTAATATTCTATAATTTTTTTTCCATTGGAAACAGTTTTGCAAACGAAGGTGATCCTCCACAAACACAGTCCATTGGCTCTCCAGCACAATAATAACCATTTTTCTCAAAGAATGGTACTGCTTTCTGTGCACTTTCAACTTTAATATCTCTCTGGCATTTCTTAAGCATGTCCGTTTCCATAAATTTCAAAGCCTTTCTGCCATAGCCTTGACCTTGAAAATCTCTTTTTATAAATAAGAATGTGATGCAATGAAATCTCTTGTTTACAAACTCTGTATCATCATTATTAAAATCAGATGCTGGTCTGTAACTTCCCACTCCGATAAGTTTTTCTGAAGGAAATGCCATGGGGTTTTGTTCATACAAAAACACCATGCTGTTATCTTCTGGTGGATCAAATGTTTCCCCACAAGTATCCCTGGCAACTTGACGGAACAGATGCTGATGTTTGGTATTCCTTGCAGTCTGACGTATAACAAGTTTCTTTTGCGGACCAGTTACTTGATCTGGATCTCTGTATGCCATAGGTATCTACTCGAAGGAAATGAAAAGGCATTTATAGTGTAATGAAATTACAAACAAACTAATAGCTAACTACGTATTTATGGGGCAGTTCAGAATAGATGATTTGAGTACTAACTGATCTGCTGACTAAATATGGCCGACCCCCTTCAAAAGCGATTCTGCTAATTCCATGATGGTCTCCCCAACTCCACACGCGCCATCGGGAATCAGCAACATTGCTTCTGAAGTGTGGTCGGTCATATTTAGTCGGCGAATCTGTTAGTACTCGGATCATCTATTCTGAATGGCCCCTTTGTCTAACACCCCATTTCCATAGATTTTTAGATCGATCTATCCCTGTGGGGAGTCTCACTAGATTACTGTCAGCTTGGCCGGCTTAAGCGTCTGTCTCGCCTACTAAAAGCTGTACTAAAAGCTCGGCTGACTGCAATTTAGCGTGAACCCCCAGGGAGTTAGGTCGATCTAAATTTTAATCTTTAGATCGATCTAAATATCTGGGAAAGCACCCTAAATCTCAATAATCTGCTACAGCACATCCAAAAAAAAAATAATAATAATAACTTCCTATTATTCATCGTTGTTAATCTAATGTAATGACCAAAGTAATCTGCATTTCTTAAGAAATCTCAAACATAGACTACATTTGGATATCAATTTTCTAATCACAAAATGCAAGTACAAAGTACTATTACCCCGAGTGTCAGAGCAACGTAAAAGCTAACTAGCTTAAATATACCTTGTGATGGAATCGCTTTTACTAGCGGTATGGGTTATATATGAAATCAAGATCGAGCTGGCAATACCGGAATCTAGAACCTAGGGTAAGTACTATGTACTGACGCATGAATTATGTGCGACATTTTTCATTTCTAATTATTATTATTATTACCAAACTTGCAACCCGAGGGTTGGATAATTACAATCATTGCATCACAGTCGGAAAAAACCATTAGTAAGTAAGAACAAAAGAATATTAAAAGACATATGTAAGCAAATTTAAAACAAAATGTCTTAAATGCAAGGTTAAAAAAAAGGAATAAAAGTCTATCAGTTAATTCTGAAACTTGTATATGGCACTTGTTAAAAAGTCACTCGTTGATCGTCTGGTTTTAATTTTAGGTCTTCTAAAAGTTTCCTGTTCCCTCAATGAATATTTGGCATTTTGTTTTGGTTGCAAAAGATAATACAGTCTATGATCCGGTTCATTTGATATACTAATAAACAATTTTTTGCATGCATTGATCCGTCTTTCACTCAGTAGTTCAAGTTTACTATGTTCACAAGCAGCGTCATAATCAAGTTCAGGATAAATTATCTTAAGAGCTCTTTCTTGAGACTTTTCTACTAAGGCAGTCAATTCATTTGTTAACCCAAAGTGCCAGACAGGGGCAGCATATTCCAAAACTGGCCTTATGACCGTCTGGTAATAAGTTACAAGGTCATCAGTTGTAAGGCCTGCACGCTTAAGGTGCTGAAGGAAATAAATCCTTTTGCTTGCTTTTTTAGTGATTTTGTCTACATGTACCTTCCATGTGAGGTCATTAGAGACATACACTCCAAGTAATTTAAATGATTCTACAAATTCAATATCTGTTTTGTCAATAATGAGCTTAGGGATATCTGCATTCTTGCGTTTAAATGATATGGCCATTTGTTTGGTTTTTTTCCTGTTTAATTGCATATTGTTTGTTCTAGACCAGTCCAATGTTGAGTCAGCAATTTCCTGTAATTTGCTTTTATCGAATTGTCTAAGGATCTCAGAGACTGTTGTGCCATCCATATACTTATGGCACAATAAATTATCAGTAGCTTTATGTGAATCGTTTATCATCAGGACAAAGAGCAATGTGCCCAGCCATGATCCTTGAGGCAACGAACCATTTATGCACTGCCACTCTGATCTGACATGACCAAGTTTGACTCGCTGTTGTCTTTTAGTGAGGAAAGCGGCAATCCAGCGAACAATCACATTATGTAAACCCATGGTTTTTAGTTTATTAATGAGCAGGGAATGATCAACGTGATCAAAAGCTTTGGAATAATCAATCAACAGAACTCTAACGACGTTGCCAGCTTCAGTTGCCATAAACCAGTGGTGCATAATATCTATCAAAGCATGAGTTGTTCCAGATCTTTTGACCCCACCAAACTGGAACTTGTCCAATAATGGTTCCACAGTTTCAAGTGTCCATTCACCTACAATGGACTCCATATGCTTGGCTAGCACTGGCGTCAAGGAGATGGGCCTGAGATCGTCCTCAACTGATTTAGGGGGGTAGACTTTTGGTATGGGGACAACATCAGCTGATCGCCACACTTCTGGGACATACCCTTCTCTCAGTGAACTATTATATATGGCACATATTGGTTTTGCTAAAAAAGGTGCGAAATCGCGTAAAAGCCAGTTAGGTATTTCATCCGGGCCACTGGCCTTATGAACCTTTGTGTTCATAAGTTTTTTCTCCACTTGAGCTACTGAGATGATGTATTTGTCAGGGATATGTTCAGGAGGAGGAGGTATGATAGTACTATCCAATGGGTTTAAGTCAGCAGATACAGACTGAAAGAAACCATTGATATGTTCAGCTAAAGCATAGAGACTGCCGTTAAATTTGTCATTGGCTAATCCCTGAAGATTGTTTGAGTTTGCATTCAGACCAATCATCTGCTTTGTAGCTTGCCACCATTTTCTTGAATCACCAGATTTAACCTGTTCCACTTTGCTTTTGTAGTGCTTTCTTTTTAGGTTTCTTGACATTCTGTTTACTTTGTTTCGGTATATTTTGTATTGTTCATGGTCACCGGATTGCCAAGCTTTGGACTTCATTCTGAGGGTATTTCGGAAGTCATCATTAACCCATGGTTTATCATTGGAGTGTCTAGTGACTTTGCATAGAGGGAGATGAGTATCAATGAGTGTTGCGACCTGTCTGGTGAAAAACTCAAACTGCTCTTGGCATGTCTTCATTTGATAGAGCTCTCTCCATGAGGTATTCTCAATGTCACGTGCCAAAAAGGCCAATGCGTTTTGGCTCTTTTTCCTAATGAAGGTTGTAACTTTGTGCCCTGTGGAGAAGGAGCTATCTGGTCCAGGAGAGCATATGACTGTGTTGTGATCTGACTTGCCAATTGACCCGAGACAGTGGGGTTCTTTATACAGTTCTTGCATATTTGTGAAAACTTTGTCTAGAATCCGTTTGCCTCTAGTTGGACATTTAACAATCTGCCTCAATGGGAAGTTTCTGATCCTATTGTCTTTCAAGGAGTTGAAATCACCAAGGACAAAAATCCCACAGTATGGATGCTTTTGTTTGATAGAGTCTAAAGTTGATATTATGTGGTTATTCATATCATGGTGTGATACAGTACTTTTAGATGATGTAGGTGGGTAATATATTATTCCTATTAAAATGTGCGAGAACTGTCTCGGTAATTTGTTTGGTCGTAGAATTATCCACAGGGTCTCCATGTCATCATGATTGTGTTCAGTACATACGGTATAGTGTATGTTATTCCGTATATAGCACACTACTCCACCCCCTCGACGTACACCTGGTCTGTCACGACGAACCACATTGAAACCATCAATTGAGATATTTTCATCTGGGGTATCCTCTTTAAGCCAGCTTTCAGTCACACAAGCAACATCAACATTCTCATTATGTATTGTACGGCTGAATTCATCAAGTTTATTTGCTAAGGCTCTGGTGTTGGTACAGAGTATAACTGGTAATTGCCATTTGTTAAGTTTACAGTACGTAAGGTTTTTTGTATTAATCCCGAATTGTGTTGAGTTCTGCAGGCTAGGTCTTTGAGATATTTTGACAGGAATATGTCTTTGTACCCTAGAGCCTGCTCTCCTTCCACGGTGGGTTGACTCTATTGTATTTATGCCCAATTTTCTAATTATGTGTGTTGTCTCCAGTGATAATAGTGGTCTGGGCCCTATTGTCCTCCAAATTGTCCGTAATTGTTCGCCTGAATAGCTTATTACACACATGATTGAAGGGAGAAGCTTCACGGAGTAATGGTCAACTGCAGGACTGTGGCTGCCTGTATAAATGCTATATGCTGTGTATACTTTTCTAAAAGTCCCTGGCAAAGGATTTCCACTGGTACAGTCAAGTAGATGTTGGTCACTTTTGGATCCTGGTAAATTTATAAAAGGAGCTATGTATCCTAAAAACCATTTGTTCAAAAACTGACTTTAAAAATAAACTAAATTGGCCTAGGTCTACTACTGGCAGCTCAACAGCGCACATGACCTTGACCTTTACCTCTTAAGCTGAGGTTCGTCTTACCTGAGACCCAACAACATAAATTCCATTAATTCTATATCTTTTTTATTTGACACCTTCTGCACTTACTAGTTAAATCTTTCTAGCAGTATGTTTTTTCTGTATCTTATTGTTGTTCAAAACATCCTCAGAGCCCTGCGTAGATTCATGTGCACCGCTGCTCGTAGTGCGCAAGCGTAATTTTTCGTCCAACTTCGGAATATTTCACGAATGAATCCGGAAATATTGTACCATGACAACAACACAAAATACACGAATAGCTCTTTCGTCACCATATAGTGTGTACGACTTTTTACTCGAATATATCCATGCGCAAAACGATGTTTTTAATGGAAAATGTATTTTTAAAATAAGAAAAAAATGTATAACTGACATGATTTCATGAATAAGAAGTAGATATAAACCCAATTTTTTGTGTTATTCATTTATTCCAACGTTTTTCAAAAAACTATTTTTCTTCATGAAAAATGCGAACGTAGTTGTTTTTATGTGTTGTTAGGTCGAAGCCGTTGTATGACGGAGACCTAGTGAAACTGAGAAAATGAGCTCAGAAATAGAGCCACACGTTACCAAAAAATATGAGGTGAAGAAGAGGCTAGGCAAAGGGGTAAGTTATTTGCCTGATCCACTGGGTTAATTAAATACAGTTGGCAATAATTCGTTTTTTTCCCGTCAATCTGGGAAGACCTCGCACATCGACCACACACGCATACCACATCGACCGTCTTGCACGTCATTCATTTTTTGTAAATATGTCCTGCTTTATTTGAAATGAGCGCAGTAATAACAAGCAGTTGTTTTCAGATATGTACTGAAAGTCTCACCTAATGCAGTTGCCAACTTGAGGGCGCATTTTAATTTTGATTTTCTATTAATGAGCGTTCTAAAATCTTCGAAATTTGAGGTAAATGAGTGACGTGTTGTCCAGCTGTCGTGGACTACTAACAAACAGGGCGTTATTTACTTTTAAAAGTGGCATTGCATCTAATATAATGAGATAAAAATACATATTCAGTACTCCTGACCTGAATTAGAAATAGATAAGGGATTGTTATTTATAGTATAATTAGCATACAAAATGGTACATTAAAATATCGTTCAATCAAATACAGTATGATGGGAGGGGGTGAAATCTATATTAACCCCTGAATGACATTTGGTATTTCTCCCCAAGGAATGAAAGAAAATAATGTGTTTCGTGTAAAACTATTATATGTATGACCCCGAAAAAGTTGTAATTCATGACCTATAAATACACCAGTAACTGAGCAGTCTCTTCACCACATCTACCATTAAAGTCATTTTTATTTCGTACTCAGGCATATGGTATAGTTTGGAAGGCTGTAGATAAAAGGACAGGAGAAGTGGTTGCCCTGAAGAAGATTTTTGATGCATTCCGCAATCAGACAGATGCACAGGTAGCTTTAAATGCTGTATTTATTCTTTTTTTCTTTCTCAAATCTGATGGCATTACAGATTTTATGTAAATTAATAATTAGATTAACCAATTTGTCTAAGAATATAAGGTACACATTTCAAGGTTAACTCACATGATGACTTCATTTTCATAGAATGAAAAGGTTCATACTACCAAAGTACCTATTTATTTTTCTGTATTCGTGATTCATCTGTTTTGAGTGCATTTTAATATTAAAATTATGTTACTTAATTTGATGTTGGCAATTTGATTAGAAGAATTTGAATGAATATCTCTATGATATCTATATTAAAAGTGAATAATTTTATTTTTAGATATAAAAAAAACTAAATTGTAAACATTACTTCCCTTTCAGAGAACTTTTAGAGAAATCATGTTTCTTCAAGAATTTGGAGATCATCCAAACATTGTAAAACTTCATAATGTAATGAAAGCTGAGAATGACAAAGATATCTATCTAGTTTTTGAATTCATGGGTAAGTATTTTATGTAACTCTGTCAGAAGCTATGTATTTTATTTATTGTGTATTTATTAGATCCTTTTTGAAAAGGGCCTGTCCTTGGCAATCTTTTAGATTATGTGAGATCAGTTGGCTGATAAAAAGGGCCTGTCTCTAGAGGTTGATTATTTTTCACTCAGAATCCATGTAAACATTAAGACAATTGATTAAACATGCCCCTGTAGGCTGATTATTGATTTTATGTTGGTAGCAGAGTTCCTATGCTTATAACATGGCAATCATGTTTACATTTTGCAATTGCATATGGTCGGGATTTTTTTTCATTGTGATTAACTAAAACAGTACTTGCCTTTTTCTATCATTTATTCTCCTTGTTTGGCTGTAATTTGTTGGAATATTAACCCAGGTTGTTACTTTGTGTACTGTTGGGAGTAGATCTAATTGTAAATATCTCATTTTGCTTGGGAACAGTTTTATTTATGTGATTGATAACCATAGTTCTTTTCTTCTTATGTAATGCATAAAACATGTAGCATGACTGTCTCAGGTTGCAGTCCCAAAGGAATAATTTAAGAGATTTCCTGGAAGTCAGAATTGTTTTTTTTTTTTTTTTTTTTTTTTCTCCCTTTATTTCCTGTAGAATTCCAATGCAGCCTGTATGTATCTTGTTTCAGACACAGACCTGCATAATGTTATCAAGAAAGGAAATATCCTAAAAGACATTCACAAACGTTACATTATGTACCAGCTTTTAAAAGCAACCAAGTACATGCATTCTGGCAACGTCATACACAGGGACCAGAAGGTACAATTATTCTTTTAAGTTTTATATTTAAATGCTTCATATATCACTGCATGGTTTTATTGTTATTATCTTCATTTTTAATTCAAGTTATGCATTTTTTTCTTTATTATTCAACAGACATCTAAGAGGAAACAAGTTATTCCATTTGTCATATTTTTTTACCATCTGGATTGATACTAATTATGATATGGAATTCATCTGTTTTACCTAAATGTCAGTGTATTTTTCTTTTAAAAAATCAGTTAAGTCAATCTGTATGTTCTAGACACGTTTTTTAATTTTCTTTTTACATTCCAGCCATCAAATGTTCTTCTGGATGGGGAATGCTTTGTGAAAGTTTGTGATTTTGGTCTGGCAAGGTCACTCACCCAGTTGGAAATGGACGAAGGGACAGATCCTAATCTCACAGAATATGTAGCAACACGGTGGTACAGAGCTCCGGAGATTCTTTTAGCTTCTCATAGGTGATTTCCTTTTTTTTTCATTTTTTGAGACATTCATCTGGGTTGTGACTGGGTTGCATTTCAGTTATAATGATTGAATGGACATAAATTTTATTTTGCAATGTTTATGAATGGACATAAATTTTATTTTGCAATGTTTATAAAATAAATTATTTGATTCATAAAATGTACTCATTATTTGACAATTAGTTCTCAGATATGTCACTAGATATTCAAAAATTATGAAAATTATATGTATCACTTCAGTATAAAATTACTTGTGTCATGATGATCATTCTTCCAAGGGTTTTCGAGCTATTTTATGTTTTGTGTTTTTTTTTTCAGATATACCAAAGGTGTTGATATGTGGAGCTTAGGTTGTATATTAGGGGAATTGTTATTAGGCAAACCCCTATTTCCAGGCAGTTCTACACTCAATCAGATTGAGAAAATTATGTCATCCATCACTCCTCCTTCTAAAAGTGGTAGGTTTTCAAAGCATTTTTTTGACATAGCATTATTAAAATGGTTGGATTGAAAATGTTTGTCTAGTGTTTTTAACTTGAACAGAAATTAATGTTAATTTTTTTAGGGATCACAATCATGACTATTATTCTATTTATTTTAATTGGGAAATGGTCATTACATAGAAAATGTTGAATTCTTGGCTTTCATTTTATTTTTATCGTTTTATAATCTACTAATTCTTTTTCAGATATTGAAAGTTTAAAATCTGCATATGGTGCTTCCATCTTAGACAAAGCTGCAATAAGGTACGAGTATTTGTCAATTCCTTCTAGAACATCTAACAGACAGTCTTTTTAATTTTTCATCTTTTTAAAGTTTATTTTTATTTGAACTTTGTTAAATTGTAGCCATATTAGTTGTGTTAATGAAAAGTTTCATTAATGAAAATGAAGAGTTTCATTGACTGGATAAAAATAATAGCTATGACTCATATAAATCAAAACTCAAATTGCAGTGGATATAAAAAAAAACTTGTTTTCATACTAACAATTTTCAATGAATAGACCCAAAAAGCCCATGGAAGACTTACTCCCAGATGCACCCAAAGATGCAATAGACCTACTGAAGAAACTACTGCACTTCAACCCAGACAAGAGACTTACTGCTGAGGAGGCTCTGAAGCATCCTTACGTGCAGAGATTTCACAGTCCAGAAGATGAGCTGGACATTGGTCGTGATGTTGTCCCCCCACTTAGTGATGATGTGCAACTGAGTGTTGAAGAGTACAGGAATAAACTGTATGAGGTTGGTTGCTTTGGTTGATTCTATATAGATTATGTCTTTTTATATCGGTATTTTACAGTAATAGACTTTGGATGATGTCAGTCTGCTTTTTTTTTTTTTCAAGACCCCAAAAAAGTGTTAGCTACTGAGGCACTGCTGAGGTTGAAATACCTTTTCTGATGTCTGCAAAACAAGAGCTTGACTGAAATGTTTTCAAATAATTTTTTTTTCATTGAAGTATGTTTCTTCTTTTATAATATATAATTCTTATGATACAGTTTTCATGTGTTTATTTATCGTGAAAGTCTGGCATTTGATTGTAAGCACTCCTTTTTAGATGATAATGGAAAAGAAAGCAGAGAGAAGAACGAAAAGAAAAGAAGAAGAAGAGAGCAAGGTTCAGAAGGAGCAGGTGCCTCCCAGTGAGCCACTCCCATCACAAGCCAATGGTTATCTAAGTAATGGTGCTTCTCCCAAAGTCGCAACTCCAGTGACAGTGAGACCTGCACAGCCCCAGACTACACAGCCAGCACCAGGTATGCTTTAATATTAGAAATATTCTTTTTTTAAATGAATTTGTACTTATTTATTATTATTATTATTATTATTATTATTATTATTATTATTATTATACTGCAAATTTTCACTGTAAAGATTCAGTATAGTTGTTACCATTGATTGTTTCTATTTTTTGATGTAATTTTCAATGCTATCTTCAGTTGTGGCATTTGGAAGAACTACCCATCCTAATCCACCCCAGTCCCAAGTCAAGAAAGCATTACCCAGACAGAGGAGCTACGAAAATGTGCATGGAGGAGAAAAGGTGAGCAGATCTATGGTTTTGGCTGAGGGTAGATGGGGATGCATCAGCAAATAAAAAAGTTTATAGATATTGATAATTATTTATTGATGTTAACTTCACCAAGTATTTGGTGACACTTTTTTTGTGGTACATATTTGTGGGCTAAAGGTTGAAAGAAATATGAAATATTTATATTATATTCCAATTTTTCTCACTTTTTTAATGAATGATTTGTCTTATATGACGATCTTTATATTAATTTAATTTATCATATTCATAGCAAATCACAACTTGAATTTCAGGGTGACTCTCCAAATGTAAAGAAGGAGAGACAGGGATCTGCCCCAGCAGCAGGAAGGCATGCCAGGACCACATCTGCCGGGATGTTCAGGAGTAATAACCCCATTATCACCAGAGATGACAAGACAGGACTCGCAATCTCTAGCTCAAGAATTGTAAGTAGATTTTTTCCTTACGAAATTGCATGTTTATTTTCATTTCATTTTACTATATACAATGCAGTTGTTTTGAATCTAATGTTGAGTTCAAATAGAAAACAACAGATTGCTTCTATTTGGAAAAATGTCTGATAAAGATTTTCATTCTTTTTTATCAAGAAATGTTTTGTTTTTTTTCCACACAGGTTCCAGGGCAAAGGCCATCTTCGGCCAAAGAGGGGCAGCGTACCAAGCCTTCTTTTGGTAGAAAGCAGTTTGACAATGTGAGGAACAACCCATCTCATGGCCACACAAAGGCTGCCTTTGGGAGCTATACACAGAATTTTGGAACCATTTCCAACAAGGCTTTGTCAACTCTGAAGAGTAATTGGTGATGTCATACTTATTGGTAACATGAAAAGGTGGAAAAAATTAATAGCATGCACTCATTTAAATACAGTGTTTGAAGCCCTGTTGTGGTCTGTCCATGCACGGGTGCTTGCCTCTACTGTACAAAGGCAATATAAAATCTCATTAATGGTATAATACAAGCTGAGCCTATGTTGTTTGATGAGGAGTATGTTCCACACTATGCATACAGTATTATTTATCAACAAAAAAGTCCTTCTTGAGGAATATCCTCAAAAGACAAGCCAGATTTGGACCATTTTTCAAACTGAAATTGAGTCCTCAGTGGTGCCACATAAAAGCATCTAGCCAAGACAGTTTGTGCAAATAATGCATATTATAACATTATAATGCAGATTAAACATTATAATGAGATACATGCTTCTATGGTGGTAGTGCACTTGCTTTTGAATTAGTGACTTAGTGACAACATTCAAATTTATACTACAAGATCACTTTGCTGATTACTTGTGAAACAGTAGGAGATAGCACTTAGCATTAAAGATACACAGTATGTATGGTTGAATCTCATGTTCCTTAATGCAAAATTTAAATGAGGTCCATTTCCATTTTCTTTTTTTATGAAACTAGCTGTTGCAAACTATTTGTAAATAGGTAAACTAGTAAGTGGAGGTTCCTTTTGACTCAAAGATTAAAAAAAAAGTCAGATGCAAAGATTTATATATCTAGACTATTTTTTGCCAATTTATTTATTTATTTATTTATTGTCAAACAGTAGTCTTTTTTTTTTACATTGAATTGCCAGGTAAGGATAGTCTGTGGCAATTTGTAGCATACTGTAAATTCATGGCTCAACTGATAGAACATGTATTTTTTTTCTCTGTATGAAAAGTTGTGCTTTTACATGGAAGACTGCAAAGTCAAATTTAGTTGTCCAGATAACTATGTGATTGATATACTCTATTTTATGTGTAAACAGTTCTATATCTTGATTTTCTTATATTGATTTTTTAACATGTAAATGTGATTTGTTCTCTTATTCATATTATGTGAGGTATCCAATATTTCATTCTTATAATTGGGTCCATAATCAAGTATATCCGTCCAATTAGAATTTATCTGGTTTTTATCATGTAGGTGTAAGTGTCAAGGTCTGATTAATGATATTTGGATGTGACTAACATTCCATTTATCTTCTTTTATTCCATCCATGCAATTTCTATGGTCAAATAAAAATCATATAATATTATTTACTTAACAGAATTCCATATGAACTATTTAATTTTTGCCTTCATCTCATTGCATCTAAATTGTGAGAAAATATATATAATAGAATGGATGAAACTGTTTATGATGAAGTTAGTGTGGTTTTATCATGTTTATTATATAGATATTATAATGTACAAACTGTACCTGCAACGAAGAAATAAAGTGTTTGATGATATCCCATTTGTTTTGTTGATGTGAGCCTGATAAATGAAATAATTAGGAAAAAGGGAAGTTAATATGCCTAATTAATTGACGTAATGTTATTCGGTGAAAAAATATTTGACTTACAATTCAAAATTTTAATTTTTTTCCCGTAGCATTAATTTACTGCGGCATTCCCAAAACGGTGACTTGTTCCTTATAACTGGTAGAATCGTGGCAATTCGAAATTTGATCAAAATTTGCATTAATGATGACAGGGATGTGATGTAAAATATTTTTGTAAAGGTATTTTTTCTGTTTCATCTTTTTATGATTATTGGTCGAACCGGGGTCAAATGTTTCACGAACAATGCGATATGCATGTATGCCGCGTTATTTAACCCACAGGAAATAAGATGTAAGACAAAACTGTTGATTATATTTTATTTGGAAAAAAAATGGACCATACAACAGATACCATTTTCATCCATAAAATATCAAGAATGCAGCCAAAACCATTTCATCTATTGATTACTTTAGGTAAAGTTTTAGAGTAAGGAAATGAATATACAACTGTAAAAATCAATCACCTCACATGTGTTTTGCCATCCTCTACTCCAGTTCGACAACAACATGATGTTAGTTTAGAAGAGTTCTATCAAGAAAAAATGTATTTCCAACCAAGGGAACTGGAATCCAAGGAGATCTCGTGTGACGTAATAACACTCAGCGTTGACTCTTGTGACGAAACCATGCTCTTATGACACTTCATTATGATGCGATGACGACGAACGACCAATCATAAATAAAAGATGGCCCAGCAACTGCATCCCATAGTACCGCGCCATTTTCAAGAAATAAGGTTAAGTGAAGGAGAGCGAGGAAAATGGGATTGTAACGTAACTTTTTTCTACCTGAATTTATTTCTGTTATTTTTTCAATAGAATACTAAAAGGGGATGTTTGAATATATTTAGGACTGGATTCGCTTTGTGCTGGTAGTTAGCAAACATCTTCTTTTTTTTTTTTTCGGGTGGGGGAGGGTGTTAATATTTCACGATAATATTTGGTTTAGGAATTTTTGGTTTTGGTTAATTATAAAGAAACTTGATTTTGAGGTCTTATATAAAACTGTATCAGCATTTGTGGTAGCCCAAAACGTCAATACGGTGTTTGGATCAATGCGATTTTTATATTGGGCTGTGCAATGACCACGAAGACTATTTTTTGTTTTGTTTCATCTTAATAATTTTGATTATTGATCTAACCGGGTTCAAATCTGTATTTCACGAACAATACACTGTGCATATCCTGTGTCATTTCACCATAAAGGAAAAGTTGTAAGACAAAATCGTTGAGGATATCTTAGTAATTTGAAACAAATTGACCTTCCAACAGATAACAAGTACACGTACGGTGTGATCAACATTATAAAACCTACTGTTCTCACCAATAAAAATCAAGAATGCAAACGCATCCACCCTATCATCTCTTGATTACTTTAGATATTGTTTTAGAAAAAGGAAATGAATATAAAAACCAATCAACTCACGACCTTACCATCCTCTACTTCAGTTCGACAATAATACATGTATGATGCGATAGAAGACCAATATGCCTATCCACCACGTTAGTTTCACAGAGTTTTGTAGTAAAAAAAAAAGGGTTGTATTTCCAACCAAGGAAACTGGATTCCAAGGAGATCTCGTGTGACGTAATAATCAATCAACGTCGGCTGGTGTGACGAAACCTAGCTCTGACGACACTTCATTTATGACGATGACGATAAACGAACAATCATAAAAACATTGCCTAGCAACTGCATCCCATAGTGCCGCGCCATTTTCAAGAAATGAGGTAAGTGAAGGAAAGCGACGAAAATAAGATTTTGACGTGTTATTTTTTATCCACAACAGAATAATAAAATCGGCCATCTGAATA